TAGAACTAGGTTTGCTCTATCTAATGATGTATCGAATCTTATTCGGAATATAGGATTTTTCCGGATTATTGTGGTCTGTACCTATTTTGGTGCAGAAATTATGCATCAACCTACTAGAAAAAAACCCCTTACCTTGTAAGCGTGTAATTAAAGTAGTTGGTTACAGTTCATTGGTGAAGTTCAGCATAGCTGGTGAGTCGCAAAGACACCATCATGCAACTCAGACAATTCACCGGAACTTCCGCAGGACAAGCAGAACTTGCAACGTTTCCGCAGCACTTTCTTAACCATTGAGAAAGTGCACGCTCCAAAATGCGAGGTTTCCGCAGGAAATTGACGTCACAGCGATCGTAAACCGGAACTTCCGCAGCACTTTCCATAAAGCGCTGCGAAAGTGCAATGAGGCTCGTAAGGTTTACGCAGCACTTTGACCTGCCAGCGTTTCCGCAGGACTTTGAGAGCGCATGCATTCGCGATTACGAAATAGCGAACGCAACATCAACAGCGCATAGCGCACTCTTTTCTTCCACACTGTTTCGCTTTTGTTCCTCCTCTAATCTTTCTCTTTTTTCTTTCTTTCTTCAGTGTTGGCGTAAGTAAACCTATACTCATCCATATTCCAAGTAGTCTTTCAGGCATCGGTGCAGGTGTGTGAACAACCATCACCAAGCTGCTGGAGTGCTGGAAAAAGACGCAACGGACGGACTTCGTCCAAGCACAACGCCCTTGTTCAGGTATGTCGAACTTCTTTGCTTTATGTGCTTCGATTAATACAAGTAATTTAAAACTATTACTCTGTAGAAAATATGCACTGGATATAAATAAACCAGAAGTGATTAGGTAGATGTATCAAAACAAAGGGGGGGAGGGAAATGGGTCACCGAAACTTCAAAGTGATCTACAACTCTTGGTGAATATTGAAATATTTTCAAAAATTTTCAGATTAATTAGGTGGGACCAAAAGTACGTTCGTTAGATTTTCAAAAAATCATAACTTCCTTTCGACTAGATGGATCTCTTTGCATTTATATTCATCTAAGATAGGAAATCCTTCTCTTTACAGCAGTACTTTTGCCATGATTTGGCATAAAAAAGTTTGAAAGTTGGAAGCAACTAAAGAAAATTACGCGAAATTGGCATTCTTCAAGCTGGGTCACCAAAAAATTCTAAAAGTATTTTTTGACAAAGAAAGCTATGCTCTTTACTATAGTGCCTTTTTCAAAAACAAAAAAGACTAAGAAATGGAAGCAAATAAAGAGGATTACTTCAGTTTTGCGTCGGAAGGGACGGGAAATTCATGTGAACATGGTCTAGTGACCTTCTCTTTTTAGTTGAGAGAAATACGTGCCAATCGAGAATTTTGATTCTCGTAGTATTATCGAGTTTATGAATCTGTTTTTCTACGAAAATCAAAATTGCTTTCGATTGGCACGAATTTCTCTTAGCTAGAAGGAGGTCACAAAGCCCATGTTCATGACCATCCCGTCTTTTCTGTGACGTTTTTGGACATCTTTGAGCATGTTCAAAAATTGCAAAACTGAAGTAATAGTTCTCTTTATTTGCTTCTAATTCTCAATCTTTTTTGTTTTCGGAAAAGGCACTATGGTAGAGAACATAATTTCTTCTATCGAAAAATTTCAGAATTTTTTGGTGACCCTGCCGTAAAATGCTAATTTTGAGTAATATTTAATTGCTTCTAACTTCGCGAACTTTCTTAAGCCAATTTATGGCAGAGACACCATTGTAAAGAGAATGATTTCCTCTCTTAGATTAATATAAATTCAAAGAGATCCATCGAGTCGAAAGAAAATTATGATTTTTTTGAAAAAGTGGCAAACGTACTTTTGATTCCACCTAATAGTTGTGGACAATTTTCGAAGGAGCTGCGCTAAGAAGAATCGAGGTGGTACAAAAATTGCAAATGCAAAATTTCGACTACTCCTGAATTTTCTTTTGCTGGGGCCACACGCCCACGAGTCCAAAAGTTTCAATCCCTCCCTCCCCTCCCTTAAATAAATTTCTCGCGCCGCCACTGCTTCCCGTGTGTCTATCCTTTTCTACTCTCTGCTTTTGATTTTCAAATCTTTTCCTTCTCACAATACCGCACACATCACAAAATAATAATTTTTGATTCAAAAATAAAAAGTTCAAAACTTACGATTTGAAGTAATAGCTCGAGAAATTCGAAAAAAATTTTCAGGTAATACTGTTGAATGATTGAATAAAATAGAAATAATGTGGTAGAAATACATCAAAGAAAGAAAGGGGCGGGGCATAATGGGTTTCAAGAATATTCATAGTAGTCTGCGACTGTAAATAATGAAAGATCAAAGCTCTTCTAAACTCTAGAGTAGTTTGTCCAGGCATCGAAGGTGTGCTCACTCCACGCCCCTTTTTGCTAAAAAAAACCGAGGGCGTACAAAAACTGCAACCACGAAAATTCAACCATTCCTAAATTTCCCTTTATTCGGTGGCATCACAAACCCAAATAATTTTTTGTTCCCCTCCCCCTCTTGAAAAGTTTCTTGCACCGCCACTTCTTTAATGTATCTATCCTTCTCTGCTCCTCTGTTTTTTGTTTTAAATGCTTTTCTCTCTCTCAAATACTCCCTACATCCTCAACGAATCTACACTTGTTAATTCGAATTCAAGTTTCCAATAGTACCTACCTGAAGTACCTTTTAAATGGAGGCAAGCTCCAGAGATAGAAGCCGGAGAAAAAAATTACTCCATTCTTAAAATTTCTGCGTTTGGTCGCAAAACTGAAACTCGCAACGGAAATCGGAGCATTATATTTGCGCTGATTGAACCTCTTTATGAAAAGTTATGATTTTCGAAGCAAATGCCAAAAATCGTACTTATTCTTTTTTACGGCTTCCTCAAATGAAAACTTTTTAAGAGAAGTTCAGTCAGCGCTATCTTTGTACACTCAAAAAGAGTACGTAATAATAGCTATGATACCGATTGCTCCGATTTTCTGCAAGCAGATGTTTGCGACCAAACATGGGGAATATTAAAATTGAGTAATTTTCTTCACCGACTTCGATCTCTGGAGCTATCAAAAGGTGCCTCAGGTGCCATTAGAAGGCATGTCTTCTTTCAAAATAAACATGTCCAGATCGGATGTGAAGGAAGAAAGTTTCGAATTTTTGAAAAGGATAGGGACGAGCTTTTGTTCATTAGTATTTCACACCTGCCTCAGAGTCTGACACATACCGATTTTGTGTGGATAATGCTGGAATATTATAAAACAAAAGTTCTGTCGCCCCAAATTTGAAAATTCCAAAAAAATTCAAGTCGAAGTAAAGCCTTGATTTTTGCAGAAAACTCTTGTAGTTTTCAAATTCATCTCAGAGCTTCTCTTGTTGAGATTTCGAAATTTCCGAAAATTTTAAATGAATCGTCCAAATTTGCTCCGTATTTCTTGGCGAAGAAGTTGCAAAGTGGAACACTTGCTGCAAGGCAATATTTACATCAAGGAATTTCAATTGATTCTCATTACGAAAAGAAGGGAGGCTAAAACCTTCAGTCGCGCGGACAAGGTCAAAATGACACCCGATAAGTGGAAACGGTTTATGTCCCCACAGGACCATGTCCCCTATAGAGCGCATATTATCCTTTGTGAATGAGATTGCTATTCTTGTTTTTATTTATTCTTCCATCATTCACTTTTCCATCAGTATAACATTGCTTTTTAATTCCTAATATTTGCCGATTTTTTCCAACCTTAATCATTTATGCATATATACTCAAATGCTTCTGCGATTTTATGTGTACTTATTGATGAACACTTCACTGATATGTTAATTTGCAATTATCAACTTCGGCCTATTGTGATTCTATATGGTACCTGCATAAAACACTACACTGTGCCATTTGCTTTCTTATTAAAACTATCTCGCTGTTTACGTCTCTTAGCATCTAGAAAGTCTAGAGGAATTCCCACATCAAAGGAATAATGCCTTAGTAAAAAGCGAAAACCTAGTATTGGAAAGGAAACCTGGTATCAAAAAGGAAGCTTATTATGGAAGAAAAAAAGAAACGAATCGCGAATCGAAAGCGAAAACCGCAAAGTGCTGCGGAACTCCAAACAAAGTACTGCGGAAACCCTGTACCCTGAGATTGCAGGGTTTCCGCAGCGCTTTCGCAGGATTTCCGCCGGGTCACCTGCGGAAATCCTGCGAAAGCGCTGCGGAAGTTCCGGTCGGTTGTCTAAGCAAGCAAGAGGAACGCATACGGATACTAGAACTAGTGCGAACCTCTGCCAAGCGAAGGTGAAGCACTGGTACGAGATAACTTGGTTTGCAAATGAATGATGAGATTCGATTATAGCCTGATGAAAGTTATGGTTTTTTATAACACTTTAAATTTTACACAAATGTTTACAGCTAAGATAACGCGATAGAACTTCACTTTGTTTGAACTGTCTTTCAGTTAAACCTTATCATAGTGGAGTGTTTGAGACAAAGTGTAAAAACTACGAAAGGAACGGGGGGGGGGGGGGGAAGCAGCAAAAAATACGCTCGACATAAAGGCAGCGTCGAGGCAAATCTGGACATATGGGATTCTGATGTGGTAATTTTGGGGCACTGACTAAGAGCTGCTCGAGCGGCAGCTCAGATGGCGAACTCCCAGGTGAGGTATTCGCCTCCAAACTGGACTCCGGGATCGTATTCGCATGAATTCATGGCGCGACACGCGTGCGTCCTCGCGCGGGATTGATATGTCGCGCCATGAATCCATGATACGATCTCGGGATCCAGTTTGAAGGCGAATATCTCAACTGTGAGTCTACCATTTGAGCTGCCGCTTGGGCAGCGTTTTAGTTAGGGTTCCAAGGCTACCCTCTAAGTGAGATCCTCATAGGTCCGATTAGCCTGGACGCTGTCTTTAAGTAGCACTATTCAATCAAAATGAAACCTTGTTAAATTTAATTTATTTTGTAAGATTTCCGTGTTTCCTACATCATAAGAAATGGCAACTGATGCAAAGAAAATACACTATTTCTTCTTTCCTTTACCGAATAATGCCAGCGCTTTAGCGATCTTTCGATTCCGCTGTTTTTCGGCGGACTTCTTTCCTGTTTTCTTCTCAACTTTAGCTGGCGACTTTTTCCCTTTCATTTCGACATTTTTCTTTTTCGCTTCAGTTTCTTTCTTCTTATTTTCTTTTTCAAGCTTCGGCAAGTCGAAGAAATTTACGTCTGGTAATCGTGGTTCATATATTTCCCTTTGTCGGTAGTCTTCTTGCTTAAACGGTTCAAGTGAGCCATGCTCAAACGGATGAGAAGGCCCAGGAGATGGATGTGGGAAATATGGATCACCGGTATGGAACACAGGTGAAACTGGAGGTGGAAAAGGTTGGTGCAAATTTTCTCCGGTATGTCGATCCATTTTCTCAGCTGATTCTCGTTTCGGTGGCTCGGCAGGCTCATGCGATCCACTCCGTTTGCTTCGTTCATGACTCCCGGGCTTGTCCGGAGACTCAGCAGAGCGTTTACTTCGTTCACGGCTCTCAGCCGGTCTGGTTAGGTCAGGAGATTCGGCAGAGTCTTTGGACCGTTCGTGGCTCCCGGGTTGTTTGGCTAGATCCGGAGACTCAGCAGAGCCTTTCAATCCTTCAGCTGATGGAGTTTTGGGGGTTGCCATCAATTTCTTCGCAGGCGATTTAGATGGAGTTTCCTCTTCCTCTTTGTCCTGCAATTTCAAGCTCTATACTTTATTATCAGGTATCGCTTGGCAAGCTTGAATGCGACTATGTATTTACCCGGTTACAACCGAACTCACTAGCACCTTTAAATCTTTCGCGCTCCTACAATCTTACATTAATGTGTATTGCTCTAGTGTAACACAATACTTTGAAAGATTTACTCGTTTTCAATTTATAAAAAAGCAACGCTTGGCGTGTGCCCTTTTCCCTCTCGGCATTGGCCTTAACATATTCCCTTCTCCTCTACATTCATTTGTGGTAAGTTTTGGTAAGTGACCTAAGGACTCACCGAAAATGGCAAGCTGATTCTTATAGGTAATAGTGCAGTAAGACCGACTATTATGATGCAAGATAACAATTCCTAAAGATATAGCTATCTTGAAGGTAGTAATACGTGTTTCCAAGACATACTAAGAATGTAAGACAGATCATTATTTTTTGAGCTAAACTCCATTCTGATGTTTCCGGATTTTCTGTAAATAACAACTTCTGTTTGTTTCACTCACTGGTGGAATTTTCCTACCAAGTTCTGAGCGGAGGTTTCCAACAGAATTATCACATTCTGTTAAGTTTTGTGACTGTGCCGCGGTGAGCGTGCAAGTTATGAATTTGTTCTTGCATAGTGATTTTTCGTACCTCGACAAACAACTGTTAAAATTGACGTCGCAAGCTCTAAGAGTGTCTGAAATATAGACGGACGATATTCTTTAATGAAGCACTGTCCGAGCAAAAATTTCTGGTTTCTTTCACCAAGGCTGTTTTCTCCAAAGAATACGTTATAGAGAGAAAGTGAGAATACTAAAACAAGCTTTTTCGGTCCGTCACGTTGAATATGGAAGAAAGTAGCAGAATTTGTCAAGTTCGAAGATGCTGATTTGTTCAAATTTTTTTGATCACAAAATTGCAGCATATGTTTGGTGTTAGAGAAAAAAATTCGCCATGAGCGCGCCGAGACGTAAGGATATGCTTGAACCATCTACGAAAGCGTTTTTATCTTTTTTGGACTGATGTACATGTAACAGTTGCACAGAAAGCCATCTTTTCTATTACCATAAACTATACAAACTCCAAAAAGTTCGCGCGCAGTGTTCCATAACCTTACATGGTACTTCGTAGCATTCCTCAGAAACAATCAGAAGGAGTTTCGAACTTCCGAGTCCAAGATTATCTCTGGTTCTTGAAGTAAAAATTTCTTTGTCCCAGTCTAAATATGTATATTTTTGCATGTACCAACACAGCCGTTAACGTAATAACCGGTGTCTAAAGTTGTAGCATTATAATCGCCTTTATGGCTTCGCACGTAAGTGCAGCTTTTATTCACAGGGACTTCACATTTTCTTCTGCTTATGGGAATTCTCTGAAAGATAAGAAGCTCTAGTCTACGCTTACGTTGGAAACTTCCTATGATAGCAAGCTATAATAACATTTACAATTAAAGTGCTTGCTGGTTTCTACCTCAAAAGAAATCAAAATAATCTTGACTCCATTTTCCTTACCGCGATAGTATGCTACTAGTACAGCAGTGGCGTGCCCAGGATTTCCGTTTTTTTTTTGGGGGGGGGGGGGAGGGAGGGAGGGACAAAAAAATTTCCTAAGGAAAGCGGCGTTAGCCACTCACTCCGAAGATTTTTTGATATGCTTTCCAAAATTTTTGGGCTTCTAACCCCGAAATTTTTAAAAAGGGGACGAGGCTGTCGCCAAGCTCCGAAAATTTTTTTGTAAGGCTATATTGAATTTTTGAAAAACTTTGAAATACTTTCAGCCATTTTCAAGTGTAAAAGTCACTTACACGTTTTTATAACTCACTCATGTAATTTACTTTCTCAGTTCGCATTTAAGATTAGCGTCATTTGCAGTCGTGTTATTAGTTCGTACTTTAGGTTTTTTTTATTCTTGCTTATGTTTCATTTCTTTTGGTACACTTGAGTAACAGAAATGATACTGAATGAACAAAACTCAACTTGTCGCAAAGCAGGACTGTGTTGCAATGTGGAAAGTATGTGCGTGAGCGTTTGAGAAGTTTATAGAATTTTAGTGGATCGAGATATGGTATCCTCAATTCTTCGGACATTGAATTTTTAGATTTCAGCTTCGAACTTAGTGTGGAAAAAACTTTATGCAAATGTTTGGAAACAATCTTGTAGCGCTTGCTTTACTGCTGCTGCTTTACTGCTACTTACCGCTTTACTCAAATGCATTGCAAAACCTTTTTAAAGGGGAAGAATAAGACTTATCGCAGGAGCAAGTGAAAACGTAAAAGAATTACAAAACAGCCTAATATCTATGAGGATGGAAATTTAAGTAATGGTTCTGATACATATTTAAAAAGAAATCTTTCGATGCATATTTGAAAAAATTCATAAGAAAAAAGTCAAATATTTTGGTTTGGTACCCCTACTCAATGATAGATTTTTGAGAGCGTAAAATTCTATGCCACAAAAAATTACCGCTTATGTGAACTTTGGTTGATGCTCGGAAACAGCTCAGTTGGCTTGGATAAGTCCTACAGAATCATAACGTTTTGGATTGAGTAATATGTCACAAATGTTTTCGAACATTCTTCATTGTAAGAATAATTTCGGTAATAATCAAAAAATTCATGTTTTTTTGCAAAATAGTTTTTGCAATTGTCAGCATTGTATTCAGGTTGTTAGAAAGTGATTTTACATCATCGGCTATCACGCAATATCGCGGCGTGATTAACATGAATAAAAGTGAAGGGCTATTCTATAGAGCAAAGCAAGCTTTACAAGATGAAGCTCATATATTCGCAAAAAGTTTGATTGACGTGAAGTTGAAGCCAAATTTCAAGGTACCCTAGCTGCCTGAAAAAAATGAAAAAAAAATCTTGTCTCCGTCCAGAACAAACTGAGGGGTTTCCAACTTGCTCACGCACACACTGTCTACTCGGGAACTCATATGCACACTTTCGTCATTTCGTGCCTAGAAATCAAGAAAACAAAATTTGTCAAGCTTTTGCCAAAGAAATCCTGAGCTTCTCCCAGGTAGGTCTATCACGTCCAGAACAAGACCGATTTTTCAATTACTGCCGTTTTGGACCACAGTCTTTCTGTTTTGTCAAACTTACGACCCACTTGTGGATCGTATAGGTAGTCTTTTTGAAATAATTTCGATACATGTCTTCGAGAACTTTCCCAGGGGGTAACCAAAGGCGCCGATTGGCAAAAAATAATCTATTTCAGTTTTTGGCATTATACGGTAAGGTTACGGTAGCCGTTCTGTACGAAACCAACGTCATGGATTTTCACAAAAAATTGTGTTTTGGGGTTATTTCACGTGCTGATGAAAATTATAGGGTACACTTTTCTTCAATCCTGTCCCACAATGGGGCTACGGTAGCAGTACGGTGGAATTTTCATAAAATCAAGAAACCGATGTAAGAAGATGGTATTAGAACTTGAGACTATCATTTAATCAGCATGCTACAAAATTATATATGTAAGATTCGAGCTTCCTGGGATGAACAATTTAAAAAATCAATAAAATCAATGAAATCGATAATCCCTTGATGTGCTAACGTCAGTCTTTTGCCCGCCCCGCAACGTGCATTACAGTTGATTTTCCAGGAACACCATATTCTGCGAGGACTTTGAGCTTAGTGCCTTATATCTATTTACGGTATACCTACCGTAACATTACGTTACAGTATCTCAAGAGCCCGGACTATTCTGGCTGGGGTTTCGCCCAGGTGTCCACAATCACATGTCCATATGCCATAACCGCGTAAGGCCCCGGGCAGACTTCACGCGATTTGATCGTCGCGACTGAATCGCGAGGAGACAACTGTTACAACATCATTTTATGCCGATCAACTTGCATTTCGGTTGTGATACTTTTCCAGACCGAAATTTTTGAATGTGAAATGAAAATGAATGGAAATCTTGGCGATTTGGTCGCAACGATTAAGTCGCGTGAAGTCTGACCGGGGCCTAAAATTACATCGTAAAATGGTAGAGCTATGCTTCAGGAATCTTATCCTAGCGGTGGGTTATATTGTCCGAAATAGCAGGGCACGTACGACCCACCGGTGGGTCGTATATTGTCGTGAATGTGCTATTGATTTAAAAGTATGACCGTGGAATTTCAGTTTTGTACATGAGTCAGTTTCAAAAAAAATCGACTTCATCGCGAAAGACCCAAAAACGCGACGTATTGCACTGACCTATTTTTGTTGCTCGCATACTGGTCAAAAGAAGAATCCCACAAACTGAATGTGTAATACAAAATACATGCCTGTACAAACTAGAGATCCCTAAAAATTTTGAAGACAGAAGCAATCTTCAATGTTTGAATTTTTTTTATATTCTGGCCTCAAACTTTTCATGAAACAAGGTTTTGCGAGCTTTTGTACATCATCTTGTAGAGCTTGCTTAGCGCTATCCAACAATACCCTGATCCACTTTTCGTGTCTACCTTACTGCGACACAATGTAAAGCGGCATTATTTTACGAGCAACCTAATACATGCATGGTCCAGATTTGTTGTCATACATCGAGTATGCAAAAAATAAGCTTTTTTCGAAGCTTTCCAAGTCCGCACTCAGTGAAGATACGCTTCTTTCGCGCCCCGCCTCCCTGATTCCGGGCGCCGCCCACTTTCACGTATTCTCCACTGAATATGGGCCTGGAAAGTTTCGGAATAAGCTCATTTTCGCCATATTCATGCGCTGGATAGCCCAGATATAGATTTATTATGGCGAGAAGGCTCCGAAAAGGTGAAAAACTGGAAAACGAATTTCCGCCGAGCACTGCCTTGAACAGGCCACTGGTTCATTATCGCAACTTTTATTAATTGAACACCAAAAAAATGCGTGTTACTGTAATGACCTCGATGGGAATTGAGTAAACATGTATGTAACGTTGATCATGTGCTCGTCCAACATACTTTAGGATATCCTTTTTGCCTTTTCGCCCAGAAATTAAGTCTCCATTTTTACATATTACGTATACATATTTGGCGGACCCCGGACCCGAGCCGGCGATACTGACATCGAGAAAAGGGGGACCTACTTTGATGCAGCTACACAACTCGCTATCGCAGTAATTCTTTCCTTTTCCTAGTCCATAACAATCTTTGTGAATCGCACAGCACAGGTTCACAGGATCTGATAAATGAAAGTAACTTGAAAGCAGGGTTTTCACTTACTCACTTCGATACTTGGCGCATCTTTTGGGAAGAGATTTGAATAGTTTTTTCGTATCTTCGACCTTGAACCCACATGAAAAATCTTTCACTGACATACAGATAGAACAGGTGATATGCATCATTATTAGTAGCAGCACCACGAAAGCTTTATGTTGTTGCCTAAACTTGGTTTAATCACCTAAAGTGACCTACAAAATAATCAAGCAGGAGTTGTAAACAGTTCAGACATGTAAAGATCCCAAAAGGTCTTTTTAAGTCAGTCACCGTGAATTACAACAGAACAGAATCTTTTGTTTTCTTTGAAGATTACGATGGTATCTACGCAGCTGCCACATTGTTTACAGATGAGCTGCTAGCGGCGGAATCAATTTTTGCTATTCTACTCAATTTAGTGCTACTCTACGTTTTATTGTCTCAAATATGCATAGAATCTCGTTAGCCTTGTGATTAGCTAGTCCTCTTAACTACTAATTTTAGTGAATTGTTTTTGCTTGTAAGTAATCAGAAGCTATTTTTCAAAAATTCAAATTGAGTGTAATGATTTCTGTTTTGAGTCCACTGAAGTTGAAAAAGTTGAATAATACAGCGCCATATCTCGAGAATTAGTTGTTCAAAAACACTTTTTTGTGTTTCTTTTGAATGTGAGCATTCCTTGAAAACAGTAAACTCAATATCATGCTAGTCATACACTCCCAGGTTGGATTTTGAAGCACATTATGCATTGAAACCCCAGTGACTTCACATTTTCAAACGCTTATAACTTTTTGCAGAAAGATTTGGAATCTGCTCATTGAGACGCATCTAATGATATGTGGTTCATACTTCGCCATCTTAAGTTGGGAGCGTTCCCTTGTGAGAACATGGAATATAGTAGTTTCAAATTATCTAAAGCACAAGCATGCAGATAACGTCCAATTTAATTATCAAAACTACAGGCAAGCACTAAACTTATGCATCTATAAGCACGCTATAAGCAGTTTCGAAAATGGACAGGTTTCAGTAATTTTGAGAAACAACAAACGTTAAAGCCAAGGAATCGTCTGTTCATTTGCAGCTTTTCAAATGTTCAGCGTCAAGAATTGAAGATATGCTCGAGAAAGGCTTGCTAACAAAAAAAAGCTTTATGGAAAGGCCCACGTAAACAAAGAAGAAAGTTAAGAGAGATTTGTTGCCATAACCTTCTTCATAAACCTGCTGTTGATGCGTCAATAGCAGCATCCATAGACCAACTCACTTGATCATGTTAATAAGCCTACTACTCAAAAAACCTCCAGTAGTAGCATATGTAGCTCAAATTAAGAGATTGCACTGTAGTTGTACATGTATCATCGACTCCACGATTCGTGTAGAGGTGGGGTTTTGCCAACTCAATGCGCCGCGGTTTTTGATAGCGAGAGAGTACGAAAAACAATGTTATGACGTGAAGGATTAAAGACAGTGGATTAGCAGAATGGACATCTATCAGATTTTGGTAGTGTTAGGTAGTAGACCCCCCAAATACATCGTAGCCCCAATCCCACCTCTATGTTATGCTCTAACAAGGGAACGATCTCAAGTTAAGGTGACGAATTGGAATAAACCGCATACCATTAGATGCGTCTTGATGAGCTGATTCCAAATCTACCTTCCATATCTGCGACAACGTTATCTGAAGAAGTTATGAAAGGTTAAAAATGTAAAGTAGTGTAAATGTAAAGTTTTGATGCTTAATTTGCTCTAAAATTCAACTTGGAAGTGCACGACTAGCATCATATTGAGTGTACTGATTTCAAGAAATGCTCACATTCAAGAGAAATGCAAATAAATGTTTTTGAACAGCTGAAAAGCAACTAAATTTCTTTGGTAAAAGCTATGAGCAATGAAAAATCCAAATTTGGCAAATATACAGCGCCATTTGTCGAAAATTAGTTGTTCAAAAACACTTATTTGTTTTCTTTAGAGTGTGAGCATTCCTTGAAATCAGCACACTCAATATCATGCTACTCATACATTCCCAAGTTGGATTTTGAAGCGAATTATGCACTAAAACCCTCGTTACCTCACATTTTTAACCTTTCATAACTTCTTCCAGATAACTTGTCGCAGATATGGAAGGTATGTAGATTTGCAATCAGCTCATCAAGACGCATCTAATGGTATGCGGTTTATTCCAGCTCGCCACCTTAATTGGGATCGTTCCCTTTAAGTCCTGTGATGGAGATTTAAATCTCCACCAGCCCCGCCCACTTCCATCGAGTGGGCGTCATTGGTGGAGTTCTGAAGCGCTTTTTCAGGACTTGAGCATAAAATGGAGAGTGGAATTGGGGCTACGGGTATTCGGGGATCTACTTCCTAACACTACCAAAATCTGACAGAGGTCCATTCTGCTGATCCACTACCTTTAACAAGTTCACCCTTGAAATCAGGGAAAGTCCGCAACCTGCCTCTACACGAATCGTGGAGACGATCATACCTGCGCTGCGACTTGAGCTGCATTGTATTCTCATGATTCTGCCAGGCAAAGGAGTCGTTTTCCTCCAGCGTCACTAACTCACTCTGAATGTTATGGGGTGTGCGAGCTTCAACGACTAGAGTTCCGCGGAAGCCAATTTGTACTGGGTCATGGGGCACGCTCTTCGCAGCCATTTATAACTGTAGGTACGAGTCCCCCCGGCCGTAATCATTACCATGTTCGGCGCTGCTTTTGCACGCATCCACAACGGGAGGGCCCTACTTGTGTGCGGAACTGATCGAAGACCAAATCAAGAATCTAGTCGGTCGCAAGGCGAACGTGTTGAAGCTCTGGCTTGCGATTGAGCCGATAGGAAAGGGGGAGGGGTCCATTGTGGTCCAATTTTTAGCTTGTTTGGTATAACATAACGAAATGTGGGCGAAAAATCTCTTTCTCGCCGAAGTTGTAATGATTGAATGGCGTCTCTTAGGGATCGTTCAGACCGCGCCTGTACCCGCCCAAATACGCCCGAATACGTCCAAATACGTCCAAATACGTCCGAATACGTCCAAATACGTCCGAATACGCCCAAACCCGCCCGAACGCCGAAACTGCCAATGCGCAGCAAATTGCATGCAAATTGGCATATTGGAGCACGCGTGGAATACTGCGTGCGTGGTGCATATATGGTAGCCACACGTAGCTCGACGTTACATACCGATTTTCATATGCGACTAGCGGGATTACAAAGATCAATCGACTTTGCGTCTGTTTTTATTTCTTCTCATGTTTGCTGACTCTATGTGAGTTCTAACTTTCGTGCTATGCGTTTTCTTTTCTTTTGAGCATGACGATCTTGTTGAGGTAACGCAACAGAACAAAGCATTACCTCAACAAGATCGTCATGCTGTCTATGAGTCATTTCCTTCTATATTGATCTGGAATGAGTAGAATACGCACATTTTCTTTGCCTGTTTTCTAAGTACGTGCCTTGTCAACTTTTTGTTTATAGTTTACAGGGACAGTATGCCTAACGCGTAAAGATGACTAGAATACCTCTTCGGCCCCGGCCAGACTTCGCTCAAAAGCGCCCGAAAGCGCTCAAGTTTTTTGAATCTCTCTTCACTCCTATCTCACCTCCAGAGAAAGACAGAAAAATTTGGGCGCTTTTGAGCAAAGACCGGGCCTTTTTATTGCACCAGATCAATATGGAAAGAAATGACTCATAGACAGAACAAAGCATTACCTCAACAAGATCGTCATGCTCAAAAGAAAAGAAAACGCACAGCACGAAAGTTAGAACTCACCTAGAGTCAGCAAACATGAGAAGAAATAAAAACAGACGCAAAGTCGATTGATCTTTGTAATCCCGCTAGTCGCATATGAAAATCGGTATGTAACGTCGAGCTACGTGTGGCTACCATATATGCACCACGCACGCAGTATTCTACGCGTGCTCCAATATGCCAATTTGCATGCAATTTGCTGCGCATTGGCAGTTTCGGCGTTCGGGCGGGTTTGGGCGTATTCGGACGTATTTGGACGTATTTGGACGTATTCGGACGTATTTGGGCGTATTTGGACGTATTCGGGCGTATTTGGGCGGGTACAGGCGCGGTCTGAACGATCCCTTAGAAGCTGAAAAAGCTGCAACCACATGAAAAAACACACCTGTATGGTGTATGAGATGCCATACAATCAAGCAACTGTGTTAAGCGACGTACATGAACAAAATGGATCAAACTTGCCTTCGAATGTTCCCGACTTTTTTGGATTGAGGCAGGAGTGATAAGACAGACTGTAAAGTTTAGTCTCTCACGAAGCGTGCTCAAGGGCAAAGAAAGGCAGATTTTTGCGACGAATTCGAAACGCACAAGCGTACCCTGATCGGCAACGCGGCGCGAAGCGCAGTTTTCTCCGCCGAGCGCGACAGCGAGCACGAACTTCGTTTTTCTAACGTTTTTTGGAGTTTTAGACGCCGATCTTTGTACGCTTGTGTGTTCCAAATTCGCTTTTGACAAGGCTTTCCGAACTCGACCAGCAACAAGCACTATTGTCACAAAGTGGAGCAATCACAGCTTTGTAATGCTGGTGTCTAAAATTTTCGGGTACAGCCATACGCACATAGATAGTTTTGCGATTTCGTCAGCGAATCCAAGAAGCTTTCTTTACAGTCTGACATTTCTCCGAAATATTGCGCAGTGGAGTAGCATCGTTACATCTGAGGCTCAAAAACTCCCAATAACGGTTTTGGTCACGACAAACCTTTATTAATTTCAAAAGGCCGCGCAGACTGAAAAAAGACACTGAATTGCGAAGTGCTTGCTAAATCCGCCGGTCAAGTTACGTTTGGGATCCTAATAGGAATGAGAATTAGTCAAAGTTGTACATGATGAAAACGTCGGGTTGCGCCTCGGGGAGTGATTTCGAGGAGCAACCAAATCGAGAACATAATTGCTGAAAAGAAAAAGGCGAAATATTTACGGTGGTTTGTTTCTTTGCAAATCCACCTCTACGGCTCGCAGTGTCCTCTAGCATCAAATAATTTGTAATCGTCAAAGTGAGCAGCCTATGTAAGCAAAAACTGGAAAATAAATTTGAAAACTATCTTCCACGTTACCCACTGTACCCCAAGCTAAAGCAGTCTTATATATACAAAGACGTGTGCCATGCGAAGTAGCTGAATGGTAACCTTCAGAAAGTCCCCTCTGAACAAAGACCTGATGCGAAATTTCGGCGGACTTCAGTGGAGGCCGTCCAAGCACAGCCGCCGCGGTTCTTTTTTCATGAATTATGAGCGACATTTCAGGAACTTCACACCTCAGTAGCTGATCTGACTTCGTCATAAAGATTCTTACTGTAGATTCAGCCTCAAAGTATAGACGATTCTTAGCACGCAAAGACTGCGGACGTCGCCATCTCTCTAATCGAGCGCTCTTTGTTTACTTACCACTGTCTCTCCCATGCACGAGCTATCTTGGTCGGACGCAATGGCGCCCAGTCTTTGCGTGTCATGAATCGTGTATACATATTTTGCACAAACTATATTTGTAGTAGTGTAGGACCACAATTGGTTTCTAACGAGTTCTTTTGGTGAAAACTACACCCAGAGACCAATTCGAACTTTTCTGCTCTCTACACTTACAAACAGGTGAGACCAGAATTGGCAATAAGTTTGCAAAGAAGCCGTAACTTCATCAAAAACGCTATGGACAGATTTCCTTTTCGCTTGTTGGTAATGTTAACAACTGAGTCTATAAGTTAAGGCTGAAAAGATTCATACTTTATCGATGAACACTCAGCACGTATAACTCCCTAAGCGGTTTCACTGTTCTTTCCACCCTTGTCATACATCTACTTGACTCTACTGATATTCCACTTTATTGTGGAACACCACCGGCAAGCTAAACGCAGATAGTGCATGCAAAAAAGTCACAAAACAACAAGCGTTGCAGTTCTGCCTTTCATACATGCACCAACAATCGTGCGCTTGAAAGTCGGTTCGACTTCGAAACAGACCAGCGTACAAAGATCGGCGTCTGAAACTTCAAAAAACGTAAAAAAATAAAGTTCGTGCTCGCTGTCGCGCTCGGCGGAGAAAACTGCGCGTCGCTTCCGCGTCGCCGATCAGGGTACGCTTGTGCGTTTCGAATTCGTCGATTTTTGCAGTTGCTCATGCGGAGCAATGAATTAGCCACTGAAATACCAAGTAGTGCAAGCTACAAGTTATATATGTGTATCTACATAATAATAGATAACTGCATCAGAGGCAGTGGCATGGCAGCAGCTTCACCCATTTCTTTTGTTGTTTTCTGCTTTTCTCCAACAATGAATTATTGGTCTAGGCCGCAGCTCCTAGCTGACTTTGAACCTACGAATATGATAAACAACGCAAAGAGCCTACGGCATTACGTCAGCAAGGTTCGTAGTCCTCTTATATATTAAACTCAATCTAAACAGTTTAGTGGAATCATGTAGCTTGAAAGCATAATAACTTTGTTTGGATAGAAATTGGCCTAGGGTTTTCGTTCTTTGAATTTTCTTTCTAGTTTCTCATATCTGAGCCGTTATCTTGCTTCCTCTCACACTTTGTATCAAACGCCCGCTCACAACGCCGCTCGGTGATCTTATAAGCATGGCGCTCTCCCGCACTTTTGTAGCCCATATATGTTGAGCAATAAAGAGAAGCGCCGTGATTCCGTAAACAAATTGCTGATTGATTGCTATACATTCCCGAGCTGTAGGCGATGCGGCAACAACAATGTGGAAAACGTTCCGCTACTCTACTTTATCACTTTGCGCGATCGATGCCACGATTTGTCTCCGTATCCCTTCTCTTATACTTTGTTGAGTTGTCCGCAAGTGTATGATAACTCATGCAAATAAAAGTGCATTTTGCGCCCATACATCAATTTGTATATCACTCTCATCGAATTCATTTCGTTTACAATCCGCATATGGAAAGTGCGTTTTTAGTAAGTTTATTTTGAGTGGTTCACATTTAATGCTTTTAGTCAGAGCTTCGATGAGTCAGGTGGTGGAGTAAATCTATTCGATCAATCCCTGGAATCATTTCAAGGAGGTCGGCGTCGACCATGCTTCTCGGTAGGTGATCTATCAGTTGCAATTTAACTTACTTTTTTGAAATCACTTTTGACCTTTTTTGCTCTTTTTCTTCGAGTCGAGCAGTTTTTTCACGGTTGCTGAGAGAAAAGTATAGTTTGCGTGCTCTATGCTCTACATGCTTCAAACATTATTTTTTTTGTTGATGGTGTAAGTTTAGATAGCTCAAACGATCAAGTTCGCGTGTCAAATGTGATTGCCTTGGTTGGTTTGCCCGCTAGAGGAAAGACTTACATTTCACATAAACTCTGTCGTTATCTGAATTGGATCGGCATCAAGACCAGAGGCTAGTACATGTGTAACTCTCATTACAGTGTGTGTATTTACTCCATTATCGATTATTTTGCTATGACTCCTATTTGTAAAATATCTGTACACAATCCTCCACTTTCCCAGTCGTTTCCGCTTATTAGCTCGTGATTTCCTCGGTTAAAATCTCCCAAAAAAAGCTTTAGTCAGTTCAGGCAATACCTTGCTCAGCATCATTCGATTTTGCCGAAATACGTTGTTTAGCATTCAACGTAGGTGAATATCGCCGTAAAGCATGCAAAGAAGGGGAGTTTGATTTCTTTAGTCCGTACAATGTGAAGGGAACACAAATCAGAGAGTTAGTTTTGACCTGTTGTTCTTGTGTTTCTGAGTCATGCGATGGATACAATGCTTCATCTTAGTGAATGCGCTCGTTTGGCTATCGAGGATATGGGAAGGTATCTGGAGGCAAAGGAAGGGGAAGTTGCAGTAAGTTTTGCGTTGATTGACTCTAAAGCACTGAGTGTCCGTATGTTGTGAAAAATACAAAATGCTCAGAAATCTCTTCTGATATTTTTCCATGCAGATTCTGGACGCCACCAACACCACCAGGGCTAGACGCCGTTTTCTCATGGATTTCTGCAAACGTTCTGGCGGTCCTGCTTTTCGAGTGTTCTTTGTTGAGAGTGTGTGCGACGACGCTGATATTATTGACTCCAATATCACGGTCAGCATCGTTTCCTCATTATTTAATGAGCATACGCAAGTCCATCTTTTATAACTTTTTTTCAGGAGGTCAAGATTAATTCGCCAGATTACAAGGGTATAATGACGCAAGAGGAGGCCAAAGAAGACTTTTTGAAGAGAATTGAAAACTACAAATTGCAGTACGAACCTTTGGATGAGGAGATTGACGATGATCTGTCGTTTATCAAGGTTATTGCAATATCTTTCCAGACTTCTTTCATTTTGTGGCATCGAAAAGCTTTTTATCGGTTTGTCACATGCTATCTCGCGTAATTTATTTTCCTTGCGTGGCGTTTTGTTCTGCTACAATGTCCCAAAACCAATTTTAGGTAATAAACGCCGGAAAATCTTTTTTCGTGCACAACGTGAACGGTCATGTGCAAAGCAGGGTTGTTTACTTCCTCATGAATATACACTTGCTGCCGAGGAGCATCTATCTGACGAGAGTGAGTGCAAATTATCGTAGATTTTGAGATATGTACTTTTGATTGAAGTTGTTTTACAGAGTGATACACGCAAAAAGCACTGTTGACGTATTCCGAATGTGTATTTTTTCAGCATGGTGAGAGTGAATACAATCAAATCGGAAGGCTGGGAGGAGACAGCCCTCTAAGTTTGAACGGACTCAATTACGCCGACAAATTAAAAGAATACTTCAAAGTAGCGTAATCATCAGTTTTCTTTCCTTATCTCCATTCTTCACAATTAATTTAGATAGAATCGCTGAAAGACCTACGAGTTTGGTCGTCGCAAAAGATTCGTGCTGCACAAACTGCTGCAAATATGCGAGATCTGGCAACAAATGTCGAGTACTGGAAGGTTCTCGATGAGATCGACGCAGTATGTTTATCTGTCAGATTTCGTTAGGAAGTGTCAATCGCTCATGTCAGGGTATATGTGAGGGTCTTACCTACGAAGATTTTGAAGCCCGATATCCGAAGCAGTTCGCGGAAAGGGATAAAGATAAGTATCACTACAGATATCCTAGTGGAGAGGTCAGAAAACCTTGCAGTTTGCTGGCAGTATACTTTTCAAATTATCTGTTATGCAGAGTTATGAGGATCTTGTTGCTCGTCTTGAGCCCGTGATTATGGAACTTGAACGACAATCTGACGTCTTGGTCATCTCCCACCAGGTAAACTATGAATTCCAGTTTTTTTGTCACTCGCTCTTATCTTTTAAGGCTGTTCTTCGCTGTGTTTTGGCTTATTTCACTAACAAAAATCGTGAGGAGTTACCGTATCTGAAGGTGCCTTTGCACACGGTTATAAAACTCACTCCCAAAGCCTACTCATGTGAAGTGGAGATGTATAAATTTGACATCAAGGCAGTGAATACTTATCGTGAAAAGCCTGGGCATCCGGTCAGTTTTTTATTGCTATTCTGTTGCACTTGATTAGATGTTCGCTTCCATTATTGTTTATCCAATCTTGTCTATCACATCATCCTTCAACTTTTGGTATCTCTTTGTAACCGACATCAGTATTGTTTACCTCATGACTGATATGTAGTGACTAGTTTTCGCTGTACAACAACCTGTTTAGTGGGAAAAAGGCGACGAAGTTGGCTATTGTCACTCTCCATGGTGGGTCGTGCAATGTGTTGTGCTAGCTTGAATAGTGTAGCATTAGCGATAATGACAAGTTTTCTTTTTGTCATTTTTTGTGCACGTTTTTGGAAGTTTCCTAGATTGAGTGTAGAAAGTGGTTTAGCATAAATTAATCAATCACGGATTTCCAGCAAGGAATGAGCATTGTTGGTACGGTGTGTCTTACAGAACTCAAGAAATCTTTCTTAGGTATTCTGTTAGCTCGGCTTCTTGTTTATAAGATTTTGTATTGTTATAAGCGATGGCGGCAAAAACTTCAGTAATTTTGATTTTTTTCATTCATCTCGCTGCATGGATATTCATTGTGATTCTAAAGTCTTTAACCTTTATTTTTAGAATGTCGGCGATTTGGACGATGAGCATGTGCATTATGTGTCCACGTCAGCACCCTTTACCATTTGATTGTGCACACATTTTGTAGTCAGTTGCATTTTTTAGATTGAATTTTTCTAGTATCAGTGTGTTGGAAATTTGCAGTATTTTTATCAGCTTTTGCTTTTTTTTCTATCATCGCATTCAGTCAAGAGTACTCATTCACTACTTCGGATATGACATCGCTTAAACATGACAATATTGCCTCTTTTTTTCTGAATATTTTATGATTCAATTTTTTGACTTCTATTGTACATACTGCCAAAGATTGTTTTATCGACTACCTTTTTGTTCTTACCTTTATAATCTTGCGTCTAGCTCATTTCTTTATTACCTCAAACACTGGGTTCAAAATTAGTGCCATTTTAGATGCAAAATTTCGTACGTATCGATGTCAATAAATATGAGCAACATGGTGTCATCTTTGGTTCATGATTGTAGTTTCACTTATCTGCAGATTTGTATTGGATGCAGTAATATCTGAACCCATTTTATGGGTCGGATTTGCAAAAATCATAAAAAAGATTAGGCAATGAACCTCAAACTTGCTTTCTTGAGTTAACGTTGAACCAGTCTTTTCCTCTGTTTGGCAGTATTTGGTTTGACAATATGAAGACCATTTTTTTCTTGCTGTCTGATACGAAAACAATAAATCCAGCGGCAAACCAGATTGAGGTTGGCGCTACAAACTTCTATGTGCTAATGGATGTCGAGTCGTAGCTATAGAGGACGATAATGTCTGCAATGTCTGAGGAATGGGTAAGGAGAGCTTTGCTTTTTCAGAGGCGGAGCTCGTTTGAGGCATTCCAGTCACATGCTATTGCCACAGTCTTAGAGTTCTACTTTTTAACCTAGCTGTTTGAGGGTATGGTTCAAGTAGCCGCAACAAGAGCAGCTTCTGGCGAGATGTGCTTCCCGGGGCAATTACCTGGCGAAAAAGTTGAAAATATTGGTAGTTTCAAACCTCAAGCAGGTTGAGTTGTGATTTTGAGCATAAACAAATTTTTTAGATCGAAATATTGGATACTTATCACCAATAGGAAAAGGAAAAATTACGGGTCGTGTTATACTAACTAGGTATCGATTGAGGTTCGAAGGCAGTGATGAGGTAAGATGAGGATTGTTGTGTCAGAACAGATCTTGATAGGTTCGACTTTAGATTTGTCAGTTCGATGTTCCACTTGGTTGTATCTCGAAAGTAGAAAAAGTTGGGCATTCAAATGTTAGCCGAGGTGAAGATGCCTACGGAATACTCATTTCTTGCAAGGTAAGTTGGATTTGTACCAGTTCTGATCGAATTTTCCGTTTTTCCGTCAAGGATATGCGGCATATACGTTTTACATGCCAACCCTCTACGCATAGTAGAAGACCGTTATTTGATGCTCTACTTAGATTTGCTTTCCCATTGACGAATAGAGAGGTATTGAATTTGAGTGAGATTGCTTTGCTTGTGAATCCAACTTCAGCCTCTCTATGCTTTTCTCTATGCAAAAGCAGTGCGCGAATCATCGCCGCCTAATACCGGATCCAGGTCATTGATAGACGGTTGGACTATCTATGATGCAAAACTGGAACTGAATCGACTTGGTGTCCCTAATGAACAATGGGAAATCACACAGCTAAACCATAATTACGAATTTGCGGATACCTATCCGCGCGTGGTAAGCTTGCTTCCGCGGGTTTTTAGAAGCCATCTCGTCGTTTTTTTAGCTTGCGATACCCGCTGCTGTAGAGCATAAAGGTCGCGATTTCCTAGAACGAGTTGGTGAACACAGAAGTCGCCAACGCATTCCTGTAGGTTTATCTTCGAAGGAAGGCTGTTGTTTTGAGTTAATTTAGGTACTGAGCTGGCTCCATCCAGAAACTCAGGCATCCATAACACGATGTTCGCAACCGATGTCAGGAATTGCGAATAAAAGATGTCCCGATGACGAATGGTCTTTTGCCCATCTATAGATTTCTTTTTCACTTCACACTCTTTCAGGTTTTTGAAACAAATAGTCTCTGCTAACGCACATACTCACCAGCTGCTAATATTTGATGCGCGTCCAGTTGTTAATGCAAAGGTAATAGTTTGAACAACACTGTACATATTCCAGGCATTGCAATTGCCTGCTTTCTCTTTTTCATGAAGTCTATCAGAATCTCCGCTCAATATTGTGCTTGCGGTGCCAAGAGTTCGCCCTAAAGATTGCGCGTGAATAAATAGCTAGGCCTGAAATGCCGGGAATCTGCGCGCGCAAGTAGTCTGCATTATAGGTCTAAAGGCTACTGCGTGACGAAAGCGCAGAAGCGATATTAGTTGAGCAGGCGCGAACGCGATGCGCGCGTATCTTCACCATTGTAAAACCAGCGTCTCGTGCGCCCTGCGGCTAATAAATCCGCGTTCGCGCCCAAAGATATTGCGCCTTCGTTATGCAGCAGCCTATAGCTATGTTCGCGCGCGGATCTCAACCAAATTCTCGGCACCAAACACACTATATTGAGCAGAAAATCTATTGGACTGTAGTTTGTCTTGTCTAGGTGAATAAAGCCAAAGGCGGTGGGTACGAAGAATCCTATGATCAATGTCATCTTCTCTTTCTCAACATTCACAATATCCACGTGGTTCGCGAATCGTTAGTCAATCATTTTAGTTGTATGTACACAACTACATTTGTTTATTTTACAGTCTGAGAAAACTGAAAGAATGCTTATTTCCTCGTGTTGACGAGAAAAACTACCTCAAAGCTGTGGATGAATCGAAGTGGCTCAATCATATTCAGTCGATAATCGAAGGAGCTGTACAAATTGTGTCGGAAGTAGAGCAAAATCGAAATTCGGTGCTTGTGCATTGCTCGGATGGATGGGATCGTACTGCTCAGGTGCGTTGCATCGGTTTCCAAATTTTCAGCTTCGTATTTTCTTTCTATTTTAGCTCACTGCATTAGCGATGATACAGCTTGACCCGTATTACCGCACTATAAAGGGTTTTGCTGTACTTATCGAGAAAGAATGGTGCAGTTTTGGTCATAAATTTGCGCATAGAATTGGTATGCTATGATGGAGAGGATTCTGTGAAATGTTATGCTGTATGTTTTGTTTTTAGGACACGGAGAAGACAAAGCATCCGATGGAGAAAGATCACCAGTCTTTGTACAATTCATCGATTGCGTTTGGCAGCTTTTGCAACAGGTCACTAGTATAAATTATAGGCGCCTAGTGAAATGCTGTAGGACTCGGCACGATGTGTTGACCTTATGAATTCTTGGCGGTGGGATGACGTCCTCACTGTACAAAACTTATGCAAATTGACAATCCGGTAGAATCTGCACAAAAGGGCCTCAAAAAGGTGTCGCGACTAAACTGTTTATGGGGCTTTTTGCTAGCTAAGGGTGGGGGGAAGGGGGGGGGGGGGAGCTGTGTTTTGGTGCATACAGGTATTATACCTTCCGTCGTAATCTTGTGAAAAGTCTTTGATGCAGCTAGCTGATAGAGCTGAAGCAGATCTGGGTTTGTGAGATTGCTGAATATTACCCCTGATGTGTGGAAAAGTAGCTCTGGTAAAGGATTGGATGAAGGCTATGAATAACAAGATCTGCTGGATAAGGTTTTTAGAAATAACCTAAAAATTTGCACCTTCCAAATCCATACACTCATTTTGAATTGTGGAAAGTCCCAGAAGTTTTTCTAATTTTCCTATGCACAGGTGCGATAAGGTGAGAATGACTCTTCCAGGGTGAAGGGGGTCACAGTGGTCGCAGTCCTTCCAGGGTGAATGGTGTTTCAGTTGATCGAGAAATCATAAAATGCCGACCGGGGGGGGGGGGAAAGAGAAGGCGATGGTGTTTTCTTATTTTCCAAATCAAAGTTTATCATTTTAAATTCTCTGTGATCACTGGTTGTCTTTTTACCAAAATGTGGAGACTGATAGGATTGGAACAACCCTATATGTTTTTGAAAATACCATAGAAGATGTGTATGCGAGAACATCTGTTCAGGAAAGAGGTAGACATTTTTTAAGCATTTACGAATTTCCAAAAAGAAGAAATTCGTAACTTTTGTAGATAAACAGCAACGCCAGCAACGAAAAGGTTTTTATAACCATCTTGTCCTCCGCTTTCAGAAAATATATAGAACGTCTGATATCCATTCAATAAAGTGCAGTAAACGGTTTGCCTAATGATTTTTGGAAATTTTTGATTTTTTAACATAAAAAAACTCGTAACTTCTGCTGATGAACATTTTGTACGCCGTGATGGTCAGCATTGGAACCGTCTTATCCTACGCTTTCAGAAAATATATACTATGCCTCACAGGTGCGATAGTGTGAGAATTTTCTCACCCTCCCTTCACCCGTGAGCCGGGACCAAGGTGACCCCTTCACCAAAAGCCGAGAAAAATAATCAACAGTAGAAGATATTTGTACGTGAATTGTTTATGGAAAGGAGGAGTCTGTTGAAAAAAGGGCTCGGTGACGGGTGTGAGTAATGATTTCTGGAGATTTTCGAGTTTTTAACATAAAAAAATTCATAACTTCTGTACTTGAACATCTTGTACGTCTTGATGGCCACCATTGGAACCGCCTCGTCCTCCGCTTTCAGAAAATATAAAGAACGTCTGATATCCATTCAAGAAAGTGCAGTGAACGGTTTGCCTAGTGATTTTTGGGGATTTTTGATCTGATAATATAAAAAAATTCATAACTTCTGCTGATGAATAATATTGTACGCCTTTATGGTCGCCATGGGAACCGTCTCGTCCTCCGCTTTCAGAAAATATACACTATGTTTGGGGTCCGTTGAAAAAAGTGCCTGGGTAAAGGGTGTCCTAGTGATTTTTGGGGATTTTCGCGTTTTTGACATAGAAAAATTCATAACTTCTGTTGATGAACATCTTGTACGCCGTGATGGTCACCACTAGAAGCGCCTCGTCCACCGCTTTCAGAAAATATGTACTTTGCCTGGGGTTCGCTAGAAAAGGTGCGGGGTGAAGGGAGGGTGAGACTTTTATAATGGGAGTGCTCAAGTACAGGCTTTTTTACCGCTGTAAAAAGACTTCTACTTGAGCACTCCCATCATAAAAGTCTCACCTACCCTTCACCCGGCACTTCTTCTAACGAACCCCAGGCAAAGTATATATTTTCTGAAAGCGGAGGACGAGGCGGTTCCCATGGCGACCATCTCGGCGTACAAGATGTTCATCTACAGAAGTTATGAACTTTTTTATGTTAAAAACTTGAAAATCTTTAGCAGTTACTGGGACACCCTTCACTCAGGCACTTTTTTCAACGAACTCTAGGCAAAGTATATATTTTCTGAAAGCGGTGGACGAGGCGCTTCTAATGGTGACCATAACGGCGTACAATATGTTCATCACCAGAAGTTATGAATTTTTTTATGTTAACAAATCAAGAATCCCCAAAAATCACTAACAAGGGAAGTTCGCCGAATCGAAATGGCCGATTGATACGTGGTATATACCCGGACGCGGGGCTCGGAAGGTTAGTATCAAATGTGCGCCCATTAGCTGCGACGCGTTATTGTGAAGCAAGTTATGGCCCTCTGAAGTTTTTGGCGTGTGCATGTCTAGAGAACGCACAAATGATCCGATTGTGGTCGTGTGGTGTAGTGGTTAGCGTCTCGGACTCACAGGTGACCGGTGAGGGTTCGAATCCTGTTGCTGTCCACATGTTTTGCGTTCTTCTTAAAATTCATTTTTTATCTATTTTATGCAATACTGAGGTAAAAAATGACACCACGGGTTACGGGATGATTTCACGAAAATTCGACCAATGCTTCATATGTAAAATTTTCATAAAACATAGCAACGACTTTTTAGCGACGGCTTTTCAGTTGACTTTGAAGATTTGCCAAATCCTCACTCCCCATACTATCTTCGATTGCACGTAGTATTTACGTGACAATCCCAAGTTGTATCACGTCGTACTATTGATTCTTGCTAATGGGCTACCTTGTGAGAATGACACGGCAGGATGTATAATCAGTAGTGTTTAACCACCCGTATGTGTCATTTTTTACCTCAGTATTGCATAAAACAGGTAAAAAATGAATTTTGAGAAGAACGCAAAACATGTGGACAGCAACAGGATTCGAACCCTTACCGATCACCTGTGAGTCCGAGACGCTAACCACTACACCAAACGACCACAATCTGAGCATTTGTGCGTTCTCTAGACATGCACACGCCAAAACTTCAGAGGGCCATAACTTGCTTCACAATAACGCGTCGCAGCTAATGGGCGCACATTTAATACTAACCTTCCGAGCCCCGCGTCCGGGTATATACCACGTATCAATCGGCCATTTCGATTCGGCGAACTTCCCTTGTAAGCAAACCGTTCACTGCACTTTCTTGAATGCATATCAGACGTTCTATACATTTTCTGAAAGTGGAGGACGAGGCGGTTCCAATGGTGGCCATCAAGACGTACAAGGTGTTCAAGTACAGAAGTTATGAATTTTTTTATGTTAAAAACTCGAAAATCTCCAGAAATCATTACTCACACCCGTCACCGAGCCCTTTCTTCAACAGACTCCTCCTTTCCATAAACAATTCACGTACAAATATCTTCCACTGTTGATTATTTTTCTCGGCTTTTGGTGAAGGGGGTCACCTTGGTCCCGGCTCACGGGTGAAGAGGGTGAGAAAATTCTCACACTATCGCACCTGTGTTCCTATGTAACCGGGTTATTTCACGGAACAGTGATATACTCCTTTTGAACATTTCAACCTCAACAGACTGAGTTATACTTTGATTTTTGGTTTTTGAGGTGTACTTAAAAAGCCGCCTTTCCTCGCACAATCTAATTTCTATTACTTTATTGCCTAGGAATATAAGAAACATAATCAAACTGTATAAGAAACCTTGTATAAGAAACAAAATCAAACTGGAAACAAAAAAATACGATAGATCACGTAAAATGTTATCAAGGTAATGGATAGTAAAGTTCGGAACCCTTTTCGATGACGCAATTAGATACCGCAAACATCGGTCTTCATCGTGTACCCAGCTTAAGCTATGTCCTTTATCAAACAAGCTCTTGCTCGTGATCTCTACAAATAAACTTTAAACATTGCTAATTAAGCAGTAGGTACTGCCTGATTCAATCTCTCGTTTGTTTGCATACACTTGATAAAATAAAATAATTTCGGCGATGTGAAGTGCAAAGCTGTAAATTTTGAACTACACTATTACGACCTTTCTAAAAAAACTCTTGAAATATCGATAAAGTCTCATGTTACACATATATGAGGAAATTTTTACTACAAGTATAGGCAACAATTATGAAGGCAATTCTATAGCAACATTCTAACTTCCATTTCTCTATTTAATTATAAAGATTTTTCTTCTATTTATAGATACTTTGTGGACTCACATGAGCATCAGGGCTAATACGAAGATCGTTTAAAGGCACCGTCCACCCAAGATAGGGTCGACGAGATTTTGATGTCTAACAGTAGTAGGGTCCCTAATTGTATATTTATCCAACTCGCGCTGGCAAAATTGTTTCCGAAGCGAGAAAATTGCTTCGAAAATCGCCCGGATGACAGATTCGCCACGTTGGAACCATCTCGCCATCTCGCCGATACTTCTGTCATTAGCAGCATGAAGCTGAAGTCTGTGTTGACAATATAATGTAATTAATTGCAGTACGAATGCCATTTTGAATTCAACTCTTTTCTTCTGATCACAATTTTGGATGAACTGTATGCATGTAGATATGGCACATTCCTGTACAATAGCGAGAAGCAAAGAATGGAAATGGTAAGCTTTACTTAATCGTTATTGCTTTATCGCACTGCACCATTCTAGAAATGCATGAAAGAAACCATCTCCTTATGGACTTATGTTCTAGAAAACAAGAAATTATTTATGAATCCGTTATATAATGCAGGTATGTTGCGCGTTCTGTCTTCATCAAACTTTCTTTCCAAAAATAGGTGAACAACGTACCGTTCTCACCATGAGTTCATCTATGCGCGTTCTGCGAGTATGGACAGAATACTATGCAAGGTACAATCATGATGTGATAGCACCGGGAACATCGGTAAGATTAGCATGTTGCGAAAATCTTCCAAAGATATGTCCGTTTAGGCTGCTAAACGCTATGCTATTGAGCGTGCCTGTGGAAAAAGGGCTTTATTGGAAGAACTTGTCAATATGTCCCAAGTGTAGGCGCTTAAAGAATTCACATCAATCTCGTAATCCTATTATTTTTGTCCCTATGAAATTCACTTGACCCGGTTACCAGCAAGTGTGGTAGACATGGTCACATCATGTTGTTTCTGTTCATTACCAATCTTTACATAAATATCAATGATTATTGATGCATTTTGACAACATCACTTTACTATCTGAATTTGGCTGATTTATTTTTCAGCCAGCTTAGTTGCCTGGCTCGAGATCGGCGCACAAATCTTGGAGTAGCAGGGAAAATTCGCTGGGGGTTACAGTTTATTTCAATTTGTACGCAGATTCTTTTCATATGGGCGCACGTCAGGAGGTACCCGCGCCCGCCGCGATCAAATTGTGCCCTCAAAAACTCTCGGCTGAGTTGGCGGCGCCAACAAGGGGGAGGGCAGATACTCGACTCGATGCCATAGTACATTGCGCCAGGAGCACTGGTTCTTATACTGGTTCACGTCGCTGCGGCATCGCTTTGCGAAAAATTCGCGCCGATCGTGTTCCTGATTGTCCCCCATTTCATAAAGGACAGCGCCGCCTCTTCGTTGGAGGCTTTGCGAACTTGCCAGTAGCGATTAATAAGAACGCGAATATGCACGTCTTATAAGGAAAGGATAGGGTGTCGCACTGCCGTTCAGCAAGATGATGTACATTATTAAGCTCCTTCAAAACACTGACAACATAAAGGCTACAACAGGACGAAGGCGCAGAGGCAGTATTAGTTGAGCCGGTGCGAACTCAGCGCGCGCTTATCTTCACCGTTGTAAACCATGCCCTTCATGCGCCCTGAGGCTAACAAAGCCGCTTTCGCGCTTAAAAGCATTGCGCCTTTGTCATGCAGTAGTCCATATCTGACTTTCTAATCCGCGGAATGGTCCCGTGAGAGAAGTTACGGGTTTCTGACTGCGGGTTTAGCCTTGTATGTAGCTGAATCGAATATGTGTAATGATGTACTGTTGTTAGAATTGACGATAGTGCAGTCGCGAGAGCAGTTAGCTTTCGGCTATAAGATACAGTGATTCAACTGGCTTGGCTTCTGGAAGGCGGGGCTTAGTGACCTAATTAAGGCCAAGTAGTGGTCAGAGAGCACTCGAGCGAGAGAGGCGCAGGTGCGTCTCTGGCGCGAGCGGCCTTGATTAGATCACAAAGCCCCGCTTTCCCAAGCCCAAGCCAATTGAATCAAAGCTTAAAAGGCTCTTTATCTTAAATTTATCTCAAATGGCAAATATCAGTACCTTTCGTTATAATTGCTTCTCGAAATGCATTTTTACCGAAGAAATGGGGCATAAACTTTAGAACAGGTAGGGTTTAGAATAGGAACATTAGAATAGAAAATGGATAGGTTGGTTCGGCTTCAATACGTAGCAAGTTTTCGAACACTCACCGAAGAATGATCATTTATGGATTTGTTAGTGATTGTTGAGAATTTATTTTCGTTGAGAAGCGCTAGAAGTTGCTGGGTCATAAATTTTTGAAAAGTCCGAAGAATTGCCGCAAAAACAGTCACAATATTTGCCATGCCTTGTCAGTTACGGGTCAAAGTTTGGCTTTATCATGCGTCATTTCAAGAGATAGGAATTTCGCCTAGTTCTATGCTTTTGTCCTCTCAAGTGGCTATGATTACCTCTTTTAGAAATGTCAATCTATATTCAAACGATTAACGAGGAAGAACTAGAGTAGCCTAGTTAGCTCAGTTGGTAGTGCGTTAGACGTTTAATCTAACGGTCAGGGGTTCGAGCCCCCTATGGGGCTGGACGTCCCGCAATTTTGTTCGTTGTGGGTTTATATGGGCTTTACTTTTCAGTCACTGAGCAGTTAGAAGGATAATCATTGCGCAATAACTTTTTTTTTACCGAGAAATCTTGGTTATAGCCATCATCAGGTTAGAACCAAGTACTTCATAAAGTTTTTCCGAGGATGTAGAGCCGGTTCCTCTTATTCAAAGTAACATGTTGAATCTCTCCAGTTTGAGTGGGGTCTACGGGTTGTAGGAAAGCAGATGTAGTAATTTATTGTGGATATTACTGTTATTAAGTTGAAGCATCTACAAATGATTTGTTACTTCTAAATAAGATTTTCTGCATTGAATCTCATCAAAGATCAAATTGGATCCATTAAATGTTTTTAAAAGAGTGCTGCTCTGCGCCCTATCTTTGAGCCATAAACGGATGTTAAAAAATCTTTCAAAAATCGCGGCTAATTTATCCTTCCTTCAAAATCAATCATGAAATTAATGCCTGAAATATCGGCGTATCTTAAACAAGAGAGGGTAATAATCAAGGTCAAGAGTGGGGTGTGGCATGCCACACCTGGGGGTCGTATTGAGGAATCAGGGGAGGGGGCGGGATCGTTGTTAAGGCGTCCGCTGTTCGCATAACATGATTATTCGTTAACAACGTCATATAGGTACGTCGTGCATACTAGCACACTGATGTCTGACCCATTATCGTATGCGCACAGTAAGCATAATTAAAGGTCTATAAAGCATAATAGCATCATTTTGTAACTAGCAAGTAAAATAACCCCTGTGGTCCAAGTTTCAGCGAATTCTGAAGTTTCCAAATACAGGACCACCTAAGTGAGATGGTCATTTTCAAAAATGTTACTTTGTTCCAAAGGTGAGTTAACTACTTCTTTCTGCGGTCAAACAAAGAACTACTATTTCTTTGCTTACTTCAAAACCCTACTTCAAATGACCTCCAAATTAAAGAATTAAGAGGAAGCAAAGTCTCTTTGTTCCATTTTTCGTTTTCAATATATAGGCTAGAGAGCTGCCACCCCAAAAAGCTGTGGCAGCCATAGCTTTTTAGGGTTGTTGCCACACCCACTAACTATATCAAAAAAACATTTTTAGTGAACATTATTTATATGAATCGATAGCCTAGATCTCGTAGATTTCAAAGGAATGATTTGAGCCTGATTCCTCTTCTTAACAATCTATATATATATAAAACTCAAAAATTGTCAGTTTGGAGGGTATGTGCGTTATAGAAACGCGCGCCACTCAACCGATTCAGCTGAAACTTTGCACACATATGTTTTCGACCCTTGCGCAGATGATAGGCTACTTTTTGCGGCGATTCAAGGGGTCCTTCTATCGATTTATTGATTTGTTTACATTTTCCCAAGGAATTGAGGGGTTATCATGTTCAATCAAGCATTTTCCATACTCATGTAAAGGAGGGCGGTGAAGCTCATTTTCACTTCAGGATCACGAGGATGCGGTTTCCAAGCGGATGTCCCAGGGTAAGTCATCCATACCATATAGGGCGGGGGAGGAGGGGGGGGGGATGACTCGCAGTGCAGTGAACCATGGCCCGGGCTGGACCGGGAAAGCCAACTAGTGAATAATATTTTGTGAAAACAGCCATTATAAGCGAAAAATAGGGAAAACAAGATTTTGGTTGGCTTCTAGTTCCAAAGTTAGGAAGTTTTTGAAGCGGGATTTCTGGTGGTCAAAGAAGGAGTAGTGCTTTGTCTTGAGTGCAAAAACAGCTAACTACCTCATTTTTGAAACAAAGTTGATCGTGCTGGGAAATGGCGATCTCACTTTGTTGACCCAATATCTTGAAACTTCAGAATTCGCTCAAGCATTGTCTACAGGGGTTAATTGACATGTATGTTTGACAGAGCCATCAAGTAATGCTATCCTAGGTATATAGTTCAGGGGTCTTATTGAGACAGCTATAAGAGGGGGGAGGTCGTAACCAGCGATCCTGTGCCACACCTCTTGCTTTACCCTGGTAATAACTTGGCCGTTGTCACTAGTAATGAGACGCATACCACTAGATGCACCTTGGAACGCCGATTACTTTCGATATATGAAACCATGTACTCTGGTAACTTCACTTGGAGCGACATGGAGAGGCAAACACCCGTCGGCCTAGGTCCTTTTCCTCTGCGTCGCTTAGCTTTGCGCGTTACCTCGCTACCCAAACGCGGAGCACGGAGCATTTGGCTCTGGTACCCTTTTCTTCGTTGTTCTCGACTTAATTGTAGTGAACTGTATATAATACTAGCTGGCTTACCCGGCTCCGCCGTATCCGGACCAAACTTGGCACACATACACTTCGGGCCCCGGCGGGTGTCACAGTCCACTTTTCGTTATCGATCGATGTCGACTTTACCGATTTTTATCGATTTTTTTGCAGAGTTCACCTACAGGGCTAGGAGTTGGCACAGGGGGGAAGTGAGCATGGGGATTCCGAATACAACATTAGTTTTCAGGATCGTCCATTACTTTTATCGATTTTATCGATTTTTTTTGTAAAGTTTGACCTGCGGGGCTGGGAGTTTGCATAGGGGGGTAATCGAGCATGCTGATTACGAACACAATATTAGTTTTCAGGATCGTCCATTACTTTTATCGATTTTATCGATTTTTTTTTGTAAAGTTCGACCTGCGGGGCTGGGAGTTTGCACAGAGGGTAATCGAGCATGCAGATTACGAATACAATATTACTTTTCAAGATCGTCCATTACTTTTATCGATTTTATCGATTTTTTGAAAATTTGAGCTAGGGGGCTGGAATTTGGCACAGGGGTGTTCGAGCATGCTGATCACCCCCCTTGGGGATGATCAGCATGCTCGATTACCCCCCTGTGCCAACTCCCAGCCCCCTAGCTCAAACTTTGCAAAAAAATCGATAAAATCGATAAAAGTAATCGATAATCCTGAAAACCAATATTGTATTCGGAATCCCCATGCTCGATTACCCCCCTGTGCGAACTCCCAGCCCCGTAGCTCAAACTTTGCAAAAAAATCGATAAAATCGATAAAAGTAATCGATAATCCTGAAAACCAATATTGTATTCGGAATCCCCATGCTCGATTACCCCCCTGTGCCAACTCCCAGCCCCGTAGCTCAAACTTTGCAAAAAAATCGATAAAATCGATAAAAGTAATCGATAATCCTGAAAACCAATATTGTATTCGGAATCCCCATGCTCGATTACCCCCCTGTGCCAACTCCCAGCCCCGTAGGTGAACTCAGCAAAAAAATCGATAAAAATCGATAAAATCGATATCGATCGATGACGAAAAGTAGCCTATGACACCCGCCGGGGCCCGTAGTGTATGTGTGCCAAGTTTGGTCCGGATCGGTTCAGAAATGGAATTTTCTATTCGGAACATACGTACACACATACATACATACAGACAGACATACATACATACATACAAACAGACATTCAGCTTTATATATAAGATTGAAGCTCTTGATATTTATTGTATTTTAGCACATAAAATGCGCAAAATAAAATAAGACACGACTGCAGGGCGTATAGCAAAAGAACCAAAGATGAGGGTAGTTACACCATCGTGAATAGGGCCTTAGTACGTCTACCGGAAATATGGTCTTTCAACAAGGAAAAAACAGCTGGAACTGAAGCGATGGTACCCAAAGATCAAATATATTCTGCTTTCTTTATCTATTAGGTCATTCCGAAAGTTTTGTCGGTTTTTTCATCGCTCACTAAGACTCACAGAACACCAGTCTACAAACGTTCTAGGTATCATTTGATTGAGATTTCATCCTCTTTCTTAGAGCTATATTTGCTCTCTGATCTACCCTGTCTTTGCAATGTTATCGCCATGGCTTTTTGAGCAGCTCAACAGTAACGCCAAACCTTTCCTGAATTTTAAAAATTTCTTTCCTGACAGTTCTGAGGGGCGCTGGTAACTATTATGTAGAGCAAAGCTTTGGCTACATTGTACCTATTTTAGATTTCTTGGGCCGCGTTTACCAAGTCCATTATGATTATTTATTTGATAAAAACCGCGGCTTTTTGATCATATTTGCCACGTAAAAGTACCGAAAATTCCAAAAAGCTGCTTTTTCAAAGCAAGTCAAACTGGGTAATGTTGCATAAATCATGTTCGTCATGTTGCAATTCGCAGAAACTTCAAAAGTTTTCATTTGCTGCAGTTGCGTGTTTTAAGACTTTGCCAAAAATCGAGCCCTCTGATGAAATAATTTTTTGAAGCGAAAATCAGCAGATTAGTGGAGTCTAATTATATCATCTTGTAGTCCGAGAACTGTTCTATTTGATCCTTACTTAACCCTTTCCGAAACTTCAAAATGAAATTTTCAAAAATTAGCCAAACTTTAAGCAGGCAAAAATGACGGGTGAAGAATTTCAGCAATTATCAAAGTAAGCATACAGAACTGTGGTTTGAAAATGTAACCACAAGAAAGAGAAGGAAAAGCTGCATCGAATGCTTGTTGAAACTCATTCAGGTCTTCATTGTGCATGGTCTTATAGTGGTTTGAAAAAACCGACAAAACTTTTGGGACGACCTAATATATTTTTCCCAGTGATCGCCACGAAATCATGAGCATTGCCTGTTTTGACTGCAAAATCAAAAGTGTGCCGCTATCTAGCTTTCCAAAAGTTTGAAGCCTTCTTACATAACAGTTCATATGTCATTATGACAGGATGTGAAATTGCAGAAAATGCAAATTTGTGCATGTTCAAATTTTAAAAATTTCAAAAATTGTCACTTCAGTGAAAAAAAACCTTAGCACATTTTCTCCACAACGACACAGATTGAGACCATCAAAAAAAAACATGAAATCTCTCGATGACTTGCATCGAAATATTTTCTTCAACCGTACGAGATGCTTTGCAATGATCAGAATTTATGTACAAAGTGATAAATGGCAGAAAGAATGCTTTTGACCGTAATCAGAATAATGGTTGTCGTTTGAAAATGCATGGCATGCAGTAACAGATCTTCCACTCTCCCCTGAATGGGCAGTCGCCTGCTAGTGTGCTCACAGTGAATTTCGAATCAGCACAGCTCCAGCACTATGCTTGCATGTCTTGAGACTGCCGTTGAATTCTGAATTCGTCCGCTCTGTAACGGAGGAGTCGCAATGCAAGTGTTGCGAACTTAGGTAATAATTGTTCTTTTCCTTTTGAGCCGGTATTGTTTTCAGGCCACAACGGGAGGGCCAACAGCGCCGTTTCTACACCTGTTTTGTTGACACTGGATAAGTAATCTACCGAATAGATGGGTAGAGTCAATTATCGATGGTCAATCGCCAGTGCTGGCAACTCACATTGAATGCTTATCGAAGAGAGGGTGGTAACTTGTTAGTGATCGATACGCAAAGAAGATATCGGCCATTCAAAACACGCAAAGACTTGGCGATGTTGCGTCCGACCAAGATAGCTCGTGCTTGGGAGAGACAGCAGGTGGTAAGAGAAACGAAAGAGCGCTTGATCAGGGAGAGCCGATAGGTTCGCAGTCTTTGCGTGCAACTGATTGCCTATGTAGTCGCCAACGATGGCGACTGGCGTATAAATTGGAAATGCAAACTCATGCCAGCAATCGATGGCTATCTAATGTGCAGTCGCACACTTTAGCGACTGGCGATCGCCCGTAGCCATGCTATACTCCTCAAGGAGTACAGCGCTGCCCTATTGGGACTGCCTTAAAAGGCAGTGGCTGTACAGAAACTGTCCTGAAACCTTGACGCAGATATTTAAAAAAGACAAATCACTTCTCCCACGACAGCCATCACCCTTCCCACAAGTCTAGCAAGAGGCTAAGGTTTTTTTCCTACTCAACCCAAATCTCCAATCCCGTTCCACTTTGAATTTCTCCTTTCGGAGTCAGAGAACGCAAATTGCATGAAAATTATGAAATTCTATAACAGTTTTACGTCTTTACGTTGATAGGCCTGCACCATACGTCCATGTTATCGAACAGTTGTGATAAATTCATTTCCGATATTTCTGCGACTTTCAGGATGCGTTTCGGGATCAACCGAAAACTGTCTCTAGGCGGCTGAGTCGCAGAATATGAGTTTTCTCATATTTTTATGCTTTTAAGACAAGGACTTTCTAAAAGCATAGCGGCAAAATTTTTACTTAATTTCTAAAAACAAACAACAATGAATAAATTCAAGATCCAAAGCTGACAAAAGTTAAGGATCTTATTTGAACAGGAAAAATCATTGATCTAATGTTCTTCACACTCCTCGGGGAGTATATTTTCTACCTTTAAAGTTATCAGCGTAGAAAGCGGAGAGTTTACCACCTAGATGCAAAGGCATTACAACACAAAGGCTATAATTTATATGGATGTAAAAGTGACATTCGTTTACCCGTTGTCTCTGCGGCAACAACCTCATCGGGAATACGTCCAGTTTTCTCCACTTCAAAATGCTTATGTAGATGCTCCTGCAAATAAAAAAGCAAGCTTAACTGTCAGAACACCGTCCGGTTATGTGCCGCGGTCAGTTTACCGTCTTTACAAGTCAGAAGAAAGTTGTGATTGAAAGGACGAAGCTATTGTGCAAAAGCGGTGAATCAGACAAAATCCTGTAAGTTGCTTGTGGGTAACTTGCGGAACACATAAGCTCACTGCGTTTTGAGGCGCAAGAGCACGCAAAACTGCATAATACCCGGGCTGAACTTACAAGGAAAGATGTTGTGAGCCCGGCCATTTGGAATGCGATGCATACAAAAGGTGCACCTCGAAACGCTGGATCTAAATCTGTGCTCGAAATCTGCGAAACGATATGAAGGCAGTTATGAACTTTTTTCGTAGAAAATTTGCGTACTTTTAGATAGTTAAAATCACCCAACTTGATCTATTTTACCAATTGAAGCTATTGAGAAGAATCTTGAAAGGTATAACGTTGTATTTATACCTATCTAAATCATATCTAGCATTTGAAAAGGAGAGCAAAATTTTTATAATGATTTTTACCCTCCGCGGTAGCGCAATTCATTTTTTAAAAAATAGATATAACTCCATGCAGGTTCTCGTTTCGCAGATATGGAAGACAGTATTCGAAACAGCATTGATAGGCGCATTTTTCGATATATAAACCAAATGAATGGCCGGGGCCACCAAGGTTCCCCATTTAGCAGAAGAATAACAAACATCTGGGCCTTAGTACGCCCAAAACGCCGCCGCCGCTCAAAACGAGTCACAACTTGGGCACGCTGATGCATTGGCCGCTCGCGGCAAAAAGCCCGGTGATCTCCCGACGCCGAACACGACGGGGCGCGCACAGCCGCTGCGCCATAAACAATGTTTCCGCCAGGTTAATAAAAGGAAGGTGCATAAGGTAGAGAGACAGACCCTCAAGCCAATATGTTGAAATTAGTAGACAGTGTCTTTTGTCTACGCTTTGCCTGTGTATACAATTACCACATTCTATTATTTCCACACCGTTCGTAAACAACATCTGGGATATTCGGCAATATACACACCAGCGCATATAGCGCAATGCCAGAGTTGCATGTTGCGTGCTAAGCGTTAGGGGCACAAATCGCAAGCGTAGCAATCGCTTTTACAAGGCGATGAGAGACAACAAAATTGTAATGTTTGTATTTCAGTGAACATAAAATATCAGGGAGCTTTTGAAAGGAAAACAATGTGCAAATAAGATTGGATATACATCAAAAATTATTACTTTCAGTAATTTAATCTGCACAGGTATATGCTTATTCATTAGCCACTGCATCAAATGGTTTCCTTACTGATGAGCAGCCAATGAGATGCAAAAATAGACAAAAGCTTTGAGAAAACATCAAAAATTGCAAGAAATTATATGAAATGTGCAGAAAAGTAGGGACAAGTTAGCACCGAAGCTAGAAGACCGTCAAAATCAAAAAAAAATACGACCTAAGAACATTTATGGATGTTTATTGATTGAAGTCAACTTACCTTATTTAGATTCCAAATCAAACAACGAAAGTAATAGCGGGAAAAGAGAGTAACTGTGCGCTTCGCGATTGCCCGCTATCAGCTGTTGATATTGATTTTGTTTAACTTGCAATTCAGCCCTTGCCGTGGTTTTCCCGTCAATATACCGGATGACAGCGCCACCACTCCGGATGTACTCGACTGCTAGTCATGTGCCTGTACCACGATTTCTCTGCGTCTCCACTCAAAACTCACTATTTCCCGACTGTTTGCATGACGGGCACGATAGTGCTGCCTTGTCGCCGCGGCGTTACTTCAGGCATATGCCTCACGTCGCGTCGTTTATCATAGGGCGACATTAAAAAGGCGTGAGACGAGCATCTGCCGCGCTCGGGTCGTCACTCACCAGAGGTGCGATAGGTGGAGCCGGGCCCTCCAAAAGTGAAAGTGGCTCCAGCTACCACTGGCCGGCCAAAAGGGAAGGTGGTAGTGCCAGACACTCACCTCCCAAAAACGTCCACCGGGGGGGGGAAGCAAAGCTCGACGTCTCTTTCCGCAAGAAAATTTTTTTAACTCGGAAGCTCTATAAGCTTCTTCACCAATTGATAAAGAGGAGAAATGAGAAAAAATTTCAAAGGTTACTAGAAGCCTTTTTCCCACTTTATTTACTTTAAGGAACTCACCTTCGCCTACTGCGAGCACCCGAAAGCCATCCTGGCATGAGCGCACCCAAGCCCAGCACTTCCCACAAATTTGGAGACAGAACTCCTTGATAACGTTTGAGCTCTAACCCGATGGTTTTCTTTATGGTCAACGACTGTAACCCAACGACCCTCTTTAGGTCACAAACACGATAAGCACAGCGGCATAAACATTTCAAATAAATGTGTTTGTTAGATAGTGTACTTGTAAGTGAAGCTCAGCTAGAATTTACGTACTTTATTAAATAAGTTTTGTTGTAACGTACTGCGAACAAAGTAGGTCAATCCAGGCAGTAACCGCCGACAACGAATTTCGAATGGTAAAATAGCGAAAAATCATGCGAAATTTCCACTGTTGTAAATCTGTTGGTTGAAGATGTCAGCAAATACAATTCATAGGTCTTGAAGGCCAAGTGCTGTTCTACCAGATAGTGAGAAAAATCAGGTCGACTCTGAAATTCTGTCGCTAAGAGACAGAATTTTAGAGAATTAGGCTACTTTAGGTCGCTTAGTGACAGTTGACGTTTAGACTCCTATAAATCTGGAGTGTGAAAGTATGCAATGTTGTGACTTCACAGTTTTCGTAAAGCAAGGATTGCTCTATCGGAGAGTGTCTTAAACGTACCGATCCAATGAGGTACCTCTGAGATTCAGGCTCTTGAAAAAACAGGTAAAAAACTGCTTTTTGAAATTTATCAGCTCACAACTTCTTCAGAATTGCATGAATCATGTTGCGACTTCATAGATTAGATTCTCTTCTACAAAAGCTTTCAGACAATATATGATATGTGGGGGTTTCGCGGCTCTCACGATATGCCTGGGGTGGGGACTTTTCGTAACAAAGTCTCCACTGGCGGCCTCCAGCCAATACATTAAAATGGGCGAGGTGGAGACTTTGGTATGAGAAGTCTCCACCCGGGTTAGAGCCGCAGAAATCATTGAACTTTTCAGATATTATAAATCATCTGAAAGCTCTTGAAGAGAAGAATCCACCTATGAAGTTGCAACATGATTCATGCGATTTTGAAGAGGTTATGAGCTGTTAAATCTTGAAATGCGGTTTTTTACCTGTTTCTTCAAGAGCCTGGGTCTCGGCGGTATCTCAGTGGATCGGTACGGCTAAATATTCTGGCAGAACAGTCCTGACTCTACAAAAACTATAAAGTCGCAACATTGGCCACACCTTCGCATTCCAGATCTATAGGAGTCTAAACGTCAGGTGTCACTAAGAAACCTAAAATTGCATAATTTTTTGAAATTCTCGTTCTCGGCAGCCACTGCTAAAATTGAACTAATTTTTTCACTGTCTGGTAGAACAACACTCTTCAAAACTTTTGAGTCGCAATTGCTGACATTTTCAACCTCCAGATTTATAACACTGGAAATTTCGCATGATTTTTCGCTAGCTTATCATTCGAAATTCTGGTTTTCGGCAGTTACTGTCTAGATCGACCTACTACATAGATATACGCTCCCAATATTTTCTTTTGCGTTTCTTTTGCTTCTTTTGAGCTTCAGCAAAAAAATTTTCAAACCCAAAAGTGAAGGTGGTCACCCTGTACCAGCTTAGAAGTGAAGGTAGGCGGAGACTCCGCTCTGACAAGGAAAGGATGGTTGGTCGAAGTGGCCTTTTGAGATGAGTTGTACACCATGTTAGAGAACATAAAACGCTGATTCCAAACCTGTCTTTCTTATCTGCGGCGCGTTTCTGCACGAGAAGTTATGAGCGTTTATTAGAGAAAAAAATCGAGTGCGCAAATAATAAGAAATAGTAGTAACATTTTCATAGCGCTTAAATGGGCCATTGACAATATTTTCAGCACTCTATAAAATAAATACTCTTAAGTGAGATATATCTGCACTCCGGCTGTCGTATTCAAGCGCAGGGAAAACTTTAGCAGCTTTTTTATCCCAAAAAACATTCATTTTTTTGCACCTTTAAACGCTCATAACTCCTCGTCCAGGAATGCGCCGCAGATAAGGAGGACAGATTTGGAACCAGCATTTTACGCCCTCCAACATGGTGTACAAATTATCGTAAAAGGCCACTTCGACTGACCATCCTTCCCTTGTGAGTATCGCACCTCTGGTCGTCACGATTAGGGGCTTACTACAGGCTCTGGTCGCAGCCACAAAACTACTCAGACACTGGGACCGGCTGAGCCGCGGCCTCAAAAGGCCTTTCCGGCCCGTCCGCGGCCTTAATTTGGGGGCGTGGCCGAAGACCGGCCCAGCCGCGGACCTTAATTCATGTCGATATGATTGCACCGGCTGATCCGCGGACTGAATATGGCTTACCGGCCCAGCCGCGGACCGAATATAGCTTACCGGCCCAGCCGCGGACCTTAATTCATGTCGATATGATTGCACCGGCTGAGCCGCGGACCAAAATCTCTATTACGAAACACCGGCTGAGCCGCGGCCCATTTTCGGCTCGGCCGCTCCTAGTATCTGAGCGTAAAGAACACTTGCGTGATGTACGACGTATGGTCAGGCTGCCCTCAGTGTGCATAGCCTCCCTTGTCTTTCCAGTCTTCAAGGCAGGAATAAGACCAATATGTTGTACAACACTTGAATATGTTGTACAACACTTGGATAGCACTTTGTGTTGTCCAATCTTGAAGCCGGACATGGTCTCCGAAGCGGCCATATCCGTGGCTTCAATTTTTGTTTTTCACAGCGTATATTTTACGTGCCACTGAATAAAAAAAATAGTCGTTTTGTATCCGAGCTAGAATGAACTAGATGGCCTGACAACCAGCTCCGGCTGAGCCGCGGCCGTTTTCCGGCTGAGCCGAGGCCGTTTTTCGGCTGAGCCGCGGACCATTCACCGGCTGGTCCGCGGACGCTGCGAAATTCCAGCCGGAAATGGGCCGCGGCTCGGCCGGTCCCAGTGTCTGAGTAGGCAACTAAGACGTGTTTTGTCCTTTTTCTCAAGAAGTAAACGTTCAAGGTGAGAATAAATTTTCTCGAAAAGTTAATTTTCCTTGGCCATAACATATTAACATAGAGGGTTGATATGATATCAAGCGGTCTAATTAAAGAGGTCACCACTGACCGTAGGGATGTGATAAACCCAGAGAAATGGGGCATGGAGGCTAGTCTCGAATTTGCATTCATCAGCTGCGAAACGCTAATTTGAAAAATTATAGCTCCCTGAAGTTTTGGCGCATGCATATGCGGCCTTTGCCACACCTCAAGCAAATTCAATTGCGCCGCTATCTGGCAATTTGCCAGTCTTTGAATCCACCGCCGGCAGCCGCAAATGCATAGTATATACAACTCTCGTAGACTGATAAAATGCCCTATTTTCTCCATATTCAGAATGCGCGCAGATGAATTATGGAATTGGAATGTTGCCAAATCGCTTCGCGACTGAAATCGCATGAGATGTGGCCAAGACCTATAGGGAGCATGGCTTCCTCAAAAGTGGGTATAGTGGCTAGTGCCTCGGACAGCATAGATGATCCATGACAGTTCGATTCTTCTTGGTGTCTAATTCTCGAAATTTATTTTTTAACTTATATAAACTAATCAAATTATCGAAAAATTAAGTGCAATGCATAAAATATCTCACACAGTATCTTCGCTTGCACGTACTGTATATCCTCATGCTGTTGGTGGCAAGTCTTTCATATTCCCGTGAGTCATTTTTTCCAACTGGTTCATGTGATTCGGAGCAAGAGATGACACTTACGTTTGATTAAGCTCCATCAGTTGTAAAACCTAGCCAAATCATTCTCACAAGGAACCTCTTGAAAAGAATCAAAGGTATGCCATACAGACTGGAGACTGTTTTGCATACTCTACAAGCAGGCAAAGATAATGTGCGGAATTTTTTGTACATTGCAATTCAATCATGAACTAACTGGCTGGCACACCCGATTCGCCCGGCCGGACTAGAGGTGGGGGGAACTACACTATGATAGATATTAGGTCATTCCGTAAATTTGTATCGCTTTTACAAATCAGCAAAATGACGCAATTTCACCAAAATTCGGTATAATGTATGTTCCTTTGATGTGCGCAACCTTCTGCCGCCTCGCCTTCAAACTTTTGACTCCCGTTTTTTTTGGAACTCGACAAGTCTGGCCCTAAAAAGTTTTGACCAGTTGACATTGTCTTTAGACGAAGCAAGCATCGTGCATTTGCGAGAGAGCGCGACTGCTTATCTAGTGGGGCGAGGTCTGAGGAGTACTGCGGATATCAATGTATTCGTCAATAAAGATTTGCAGGACAGTTTTGAAGACGTTTGTAGTACGGCGCCAAGTCTTGCCGTGCAGAAAAATCTCATCGGGCCTGTCTTTTGGTCTCTTGCAGTAGGGATTTGTTGAACGGTGCACTGAGTTGCACCCTTTTCATATCCTAGTCTTTCTTTCAAAGTGACCCAATTTTTTGCGTCTCATACTGAAAACGCCATTTTCAATGGTAGGCAAGAAATGCAAAAACACTTTTCGTTGAAGAAAATGAGCAAGTGCTTCTTTTACCTTTCAAGATTTCCACCTTTGGAAGCTGGGAAGTTGGACTAGGGCAGATTTACATCTTAAAAAAACAGAAAAGCATGATCAATTCCTCAGCAATATAAGAATGTTGCCGCAAAAAACCGTTTCTTAAAGAAATGAGCTCGAGAATGAAAACGTGCAACGTCATGAAACAAGCCAATATCTTCATACCTAGAATCCGTACAGTGAATTCCTGTCCCTGTTCCTTCCCACCTCTATATGCCAGTGTCCTTCCCTCTATCCGTGATATTGTGATATCCTCGCTTACCTCCTTTGTGCCAATCTCCGTAGTACAAACTTTGCAAAACATCGATGAAATCGATGTGGTTCGATAAGGAGCAGTCTGCGGTACTATCCTCGCAAAGAAGTCTATATGGCAAAGTTTGGCGACTCGCTTCAGAAATGGAATCTTCTATTTGAAACTACGTGCAAACAGGCGGACACAAAACAAAAACCAGACATCCAACTTGAAATTGAAGAGGCTTAACCGTCTAAGCCCCGAGTTTGAGTACATATCCCATCTCGATCGGCCACTTTGGTTTGCCGATTTTCCCTTGTAAATTGGGTAAACTTCCTCAATTTTGATATTTGCAGGGAAATGTTCAAACTCATTAATTGTGCTCAATTTCTTTGCATGTGTGCATTTCAGCTGGTGCTAAATCGCCTTTTTTCGCCTATTCCTTCTCAACCGTTTTCTCACACTTCCCACTGGTTATGTCTGGCTCTCTCCTTCCTTCCCCTCCTTATTCGCCAACGCTTCGTGGACCGCGTACCGTTGACTTTCCGTCCTCTGAAGGTTGCTAAGAATAGTCTCGACTTAAACTGCCTTATCCTCTCAGCACGATTTTACTTTACTGTTAAGTTTGCATGAATCATGAACATTGATTTGAGTGAATAATAGATTTTTTGATAAATAACATTTTTTTGCTCCGCGCTTTGCCATGTATCCGGTCGCAGTTCTATAGAATTTTGGTTCAATCAAACTTTTGGAGGCAAGTCGAAATGTCAATTTGGTCTACATCAAGCATTTCATTTTGGAAAAGTCTCATATTGAAAAAAGGTTAGAGAATCATAAATATTCGTAAAGAATTGTTGTCCTACTTCTTCCAGTGAAAGAACTATGTGATAGCAATAAAACCATGGTCAAATAGAACTCATTGGCTTATTCATTTTTTTGGCTACCAGAATGCAAAAAAAGGTGGGTTCGAAATGATGAGTTTCTACTACTCACAGTAATGAAGAACAAACTGTACTTCATCTAACAGGGCATCAGTAACGTTTGATCTGTAAAATCTTTCTTGTATAAAAACCTTTCGCATTTTCGTACCGCATTTCTTCAAACACTTATTGTGAAGCTGGTTTCAAGATTTGCAGTAGGAAACAAATCACCGTTCTCTTGTCATTGATGCAAGATTACGGTGAGAAATTACAGCTTTATTTTGGATTTGCTGTGTTTAGTTTTCAAAAATGTAGGTTATGGACCATGGTACTCACGCGCGCGATTTCAGACCTAGCTTTTTATGAACTTATTAATTTCAAAAATGGTGTAACCATAATTTTAGGAAGCATTGTAAAAATATCTATTGAAGTTTATTTGGCATAAGTCATGAACCAAGCATTGCGGTGGATTGCAAACTTCACGCTTCGTGCAGTCTGATCAGTCTAATGTGAAAGTTTTCAGCTCGTTTGGCTCGTTCTGGGGCGTAGTAGGATCAACGGTTCAAAATCATCTTCGGAATTCCTATCGTAATCTTAAAGTGATGAAGAGCACCTGATGATTTTTCCATACTGTAAATAACAAGGGAAGGATGACTGGTGGCCGTAGCCTTTTGGAATATGTCATATAATACATCAAAATGCTTGCACTGGAACGCTGATCTCGAAAATATCTTCACTGCTGCAGAACAGCTTGTAAAAGCGCCAAAGTAAAAATATTTGCGTCGACCAAGATCAAACGAGCATCCATTGTGCAATGATCGACAGCGCTAATTACTAGACTTTTGGCTCCTGACAAAATCACTCGTACTCTTGTGCAAACACGTCAGATGAGGGCAATTACGGTTTTTTGGAGATATTTTCCGCAAATAACGGATACGGATTTGAGATTAGCGTTTCAAGGCGAATGTCATGGCATATGTCACATATCCAAAGGCCACGACCACCAAGTATTTTCTCCCCGTAACCTGAAGGCAGCTCTACAACGAGGTGTTCAAAAGCAAACGAAAGCTTCTTGTACAAGAGAGCTAGTACTGTTCAAACGTTTGATAAATGATTTTGGGACACCCTTTATACTGTGATAAACTTGCTGATTCTTCCCTATACAACCTAAAGCGCGAAATACGATATAAAAAAGCTTTTGAGCAGCTAGATGCATTTTGTTAGACTTTAGGGGTATTTAGAGGTTGCACTTGAGCCAGGTGGGTCTCATATTCAAGAAATGGTAGGCTCCACAATCAAGCCGCCACAAAAGTGCGGAGGTAAGACATGAGATATTTATTTGGCTCGTGTCAAGCTCAATAAGCTACGACCATGAAGAGTGGGCAACTTGGAAAAGTTTAAGGAAGCAGTACTCGGTGAAAACATAGGGTGACGCGCGCTTCGCTGAAAGACGTATACCAAACGCAGTTGTTTTCTGCAAACGGAAACCTTTGCTAGACATTTTCCACGTTTAGGGGCTCACTTGCAAACAATCGCGGTAGACAGAGAAGCCCAGATTAAGGTTTATTTCCGTCAAAGAACCGCCTTCAATGGCCTTTGTGAAGCATCAAAAAGGTCAACAGCATCGCGAAAGTACTACCACTACCATACTAAAATACTACGCTAGCTCAAAGATTGAACATAACCTTGATAACAGATGTTATTAAGACTTTTCATATTTTTACATCGTAAAAATAGATGGCTATCCAAAAAACTTACCACATACGGAACTCTGTCTTTGAGCACGAGTTTCGGCCGAGCCGGAGAAGGAAATGCGAGAGGATATGTTACGCCTTCATGAAGGCGTACATTGAAAAATCTCTCCAACATCACCATTGATAGAGTACGTGGTAATGACAATGTCTGCGAAGGACTTCCTCCATTCGATGCAAACGCATATGAGATCTATAATAAAACATAAAACTTTATATCTCAGCATCCACTGGTTGTAGGTTGTTGCGAGGCTTCCAAGTTGTAGTTGTTCAAGAGCGGACACTGCTCGCGCATTATCCATTTTCTTTTTTCTGAAATCTACCAGGTTTTTGGAAGTTTCATTAATAAGGGCCACGGTCAGAGGTGCGATGGGTGGAGCCGGGCCCCCGCAAAAGTGAATATGGTCCCAGCTACCATTGGCCGGCAAAAGTGAAGGCGGTAGTGTCAGACACTCATTTCCCAAAAACTTCGACCGGGAAGGAGCGAGGGAGAATTGTCGATGTCGAGGGGGGAGCACAGCTCTACGTCAATTTCGCAAAAAAATTTGTTTCTCAAAAGCCTCATGAGCTTCTTCACTGGTAATAAAAAGGGAAAATAAGAAAAGCAAATTCCAGGGCTTTAAGCAACAACTGTAACCCAACGGCCCCCTTTAGGGCCACAAAAACTATGAGTACAGCGGCATAAATATCATAACTCATAATAACCGGCTAAGGACGTTTACGTCTTCTTGTACGTGTGTGTATACGTGTATCTATCTCTCCGTTACGAAATTCGTAGAGCGTGTTCCAGCCAACGTCCTGAGCCCAAATTTTGCGCGACCCATGCTAGCAGCATGAAAGTCCATTATGCAAAAGCGCGAGCAGATCCGTTCAGTGGATCTTTTAAAAACTGCGCGTCAAGTGGATCCACTTGACTTCTGGTTTGGAATAAACGTGTTAATCAAATGGTGTATTTGCAAGTGACACAGCTAGACTTAACCTATTTTTTGAAGTAAATTTTGTTGTAAAGTAATGCGGAAAAAGTAGGTCGAACAGATAGTGGCCGCCAACAACCAGACTTTCCACTGATAAAATAACGAAAAATTATGCGAAGTTTCGAATATCATAAATTTGGTGGTTGAATATGTTAGTAACTGCGACTTTTAGGGTTCTAAAGGGTAAGTGTTCTTCTACTAGACAGTGAAAGGCTCAGGGGCGGTATGCATCAATCTCTCGTTTTGAAAGAGGGCGATCATTTTCAATAGTTCATATATCATGGGTCGGTGGCCAACCCGGCCGGGCGATCGTTTTCTATAGAAAATGATCGCCATCTTTCAAAACGGGAGATTGATGCATACCGCTCCAGGTCGATTTAAGCAGTGGTCGCCGAAAACGAGAATAAATTAAGCAATTTTAGGTTGCTTAGTGACAGCTGACTCTAGACTCCTACAAATCTGGAATGTGGAGGTGTGCGATGTGCGATGTGCTCTTTAATTTTTGTAAAGTAAGGCTTGCACTATCAGAATTTGTCTTAAGCGCATCGATCTATTGAAACATTGCTGAGAGCCAGGTTTTTGAAAAAGCCGGTAAAAAACCGTTTTTCAGGCTTTAACGGCCCGTAACTTCTTCAGCTTGAGGGGGAAGGGAGTTATTCGACCTGCTGATCGCAAAAATGATAACCACTTTGCATGGTGGGACCTTTTTTGAGGGTTTACGGTAGGCATATGTCATAGGGTCAAATGGAGTTGATCTCTTCTCGCACACCTACTACACCTACGTGACCACACAGAGACTTTTCGTGCAAAGGAAGCGTGATATTTGTGATCAAAATGTCGAATAACGCCCATACGCAAACTTTTAGCGAAATCTGAGATCACCTCATTCCGTATGCCTACTGTAACTCCTCAAAAAGGCCCACCGCGCAAAATAAATATCATTTTTGTGATTAGCAGCTCTTGTGATTGGCAGCTCGAATACCCCTAAGCGAAGTTCCATCGAAATTTGTGTTTCCAATGTGGGCTGTATTGAGCGAATTAGCGTCAGAGCTCAGCATGAGGTGGCATATGAGAAAATCAAAAATGAAGTCCCTTTGACATTGCAGAAAATTACGCGTTCCCTTTTGCAGTGTAAAAGCTCTTCTAACAATCTGCAACAAAATACATGGATTGAAGCGAAGAAAAGACAGGAATAAATCCAGACTAAATGGAATGCGAAAAAAAAGGACATCATCAAGAACCGTAACAAAGCATAAGGGAGGGAACTTGAGCTAGGGTGAATACTTTTAGGTAGAGCATGATCTAAAAATTAGATTTATATAAAAAAATTTGAAACTGTATGTGAAAAAAGGGGTGAATTGTAAAGATACAAAACTTTGTTCGGTCCCGTGCAACCTCAGGGTGCTCCCAGGCTGCGCGGGAGCAACCTAAATTTAAAAACATTTGCAACTTTTCTCGTTCACACAGTTTTTTTAGATAATTTTTCGTGCTTTTCTTTTGACCTTCGCCGCGGATGTACACACCAGATTTTTTGGCTCAATATTGCTTACTCGTTGTTAACAGACCGATTGTTTATATTTTTTGAGCGTGATTGTTTTTGACACGTTGAAGTCGTGTGCACACAGGTTTATGTACTAATCGATGTAATGTGCTAATCTACCTGTAACTGGTAAAATTACGTTAGACCTGCAAATTCGGGCTTGCTGAAAGTTGATTGTATTGTACTGTATTTCTAATAATTCATCAGGTTTCCGGATGAGTTTACGGGTTCCCCTTTGCCTTCCTTTTGACGACATCCAGCGTGTGAAAGCGCCACCTCTGCTGAGCCTTGATTAGCGTCAGGGCCGCTTATCCGTGCCAGTCATCACGCTTTACCTCTCTACTCACTCAAATGCTTCTGATAAATTTAAAAAACAATTTTCTTTGAGAAATTTGCGCCGCATTCGTTACATATGTACTAGTGGCGAAGCGTGAGAGGGGGGGGGGGAGGAGCGGAGCAATTTTCCACCGTTTCGAAATATGTCGCGAGTTTCTTGGCAGCAGCCTACATGTATTATGAAATTGTGCGCAAGGGACTTGTTTTGGCTTTGATTATTTGTAGTATTTTTTGAAAATTTCAAAAGGTTTAGCTAGCTTTGTGAGAGGACTCGATAGTTTGTCAACCAGCAGGAACTTTGGAAACACTCGAAAACATTTTTCAGAGGGCTCGACTAACGTTCCCAACTACACAGATCGATGTGTCAACTTCTAAGGCAAATCGCTCCATTGTGCAGGGAAAGCGAAAATTTTAGGAATCCCGCATAGATTTGTTGACCATTGTAATGCTGACCAGATAAGGCCGAACGTGGGCAGTCCGCTCTGAGGTGACGTTACAAAAGTCGAAGCGCTGAACGCAGCAGCGCATCAAGTTCGCGCCGTCCCTGCAAATCTTCGAGACTCTCGCGGAGATGTAAGCGATCGGGAACGCTTCAGAAATACGCAGCAAATCTAGCGTTGTAAACGATTTATTAATTTTTGTTCTTTTGAACAAGTGCAATTTCAGACATTAAACTGCTTTAAAATTTGGGTATTTCCAAAAAGGCGAAGATTGGTGAACTGCAGCTCTTGCAAATTGATGGTGAGTAGATGTTGCTTCTTGTGCACTTTGAAAATTCTTTTTTCATCTATTACGATTAGGTAGGGGAAGAAGTCAGCCACATAACTTTCTGTAGTAATTATCATATCGAGTCAGTTATTCGCTTCATAGTCACATTACGCAATTTCAGTAACTAGCGATCTGGCAATTTGCCAGACATCTTCAAAGTCAAAACTGCCAGACTACAGATGCATAGTGTGTACAGCCTTTCGTAGATTGACAAATTGGCCTATTTTTTACGTTTAGAATGTGCTTACAATAAACAATAAATTATGGACAACTGTTTCGCGATTGAACTTGCGAAAAGTATACGCGGGGCTTAAGAAACAATGTGATTCAGCTAAACGGAGTGGATGTTCTCTAAAAGACCTTTTTTCATGATTCGATCACAGTCAACGGTTTTTGACAAAATCAGAGCTAAGGTATGGCTTAGATCAATTGCTTTTCAATCATACTTGAGAGATGCAAACCCGCGCTTGAACTTGTTTGTCAACATGTAATCCAAACATCCTTTTCATTTTTTACTACCAATGAAAATGAGCATTTTGTAATGTGTTTTCGCCTTTTTCCTTCTTTCCATTGCACTTCCGCTCTCCGGCTCGGTAGAGCAATTTTGATGAGATTAGCGCAAATACAAAAGCTGCGCATTTCCTTTCCGTTTGATTTTTATAATTGCACCAATACGAAAACCATTCGCCCTCTATAATACGGTGTATAATGTCTGACTAACACGTATTCAATCTGCACTCATGGCTGCGCATAGCGCGCTCACGACTCAGAGCTCGCCGGCGGGCGTGGATAGTTATGGGACGAGCTAAACCGTGGACTTGTGCTTCTAAGCATCGTTCAATGCAGTAGACTGGACGTGGACTTAATACTGCAGAAGACAAAACAGTCTCTTCCGTGTAGTTTCCTCTTCATGAAGAGAAGTTCTGGATGATTTTCTGATAGGAGCTTGGGTAAGCAGCCAAGTTTCTGACAAGTTTAACTTCGAGTTTGAGCCTACAATTCAGTCACTGAATTGTATTTGAGATCAGCCATTGATTTTCAATAACTGCTTTAAAAAATTAGACATTGATTTACCACTACTATGAATCTCAGGACCTATATTAGTTTGGAGAGGTGACACGTTTTTCAGTTGGTTCTTTTTGAACTTATCCCACAACATTCGCACAGATGTACACATATTTGTTCACGCGGCGATATTCAGTTTAATGCATTCATTGCCCTGTATAATTCTTTATTTGATAAACGCGCATGAAGTGATTACAAATAGTAGCTCCCATTCTATCCATTCTCCATCTATCTATAACGCGCAGTATTTTCTGGCAAATTTAGTAAAAGTATTAAGATCGAGCAGTTTGCAATATTTGCAGAAGTGACTAGCTAGTTTTGAGTCGTCCAAATTGGAACTACTAGACTCAACAAGCTTTGCGCCTTTTAGAGTCAATGTTGTCTTTCTTGCAAATGATTATGATTAATCAGGATGAAGCAAAGAGCAAGTTCTGCTTTTTTCATCACACTTGCTTCAAAGTTAGTCTCTTAGTCCCAAAATGAACGACATTGGAGCTTCCTCGTTTGTATGGTATTTGATTGAGTTTGACGAGCATATATTGAGCACTACCCAGCAACTATTGTTAAGATGCACTTTCGCAATTCACTAAAATCTGTCTTCGCATTTCATTGGAAATGGAAGGATTTTGTGGTTTGTCTGTTAAGCTTTGCATGGAAAACTTCACGTAACACAAGATCGCAGTTGTACTTCAGCTTCACCATTGTTTATGTATAGCGTTTGGAACTTGATATGACTGTCTTGATGATCACTTTGGCCCTACTTGAGTTAACTGTCGCTGCTTTTCCCTCATCAATGCAAAGAAACACAAGTTCACGATGTTTCGTCCCGACAGCGCATAACATGCCCGCCGGCGAAATCAACGATGGCACTGAGATTTGGGGGGCCCTCTGCACGGCCTAGGTATCGTTCATTCGTTGACCGTACGGACTGCCGACCGCGTGGCGACTGCGACGCGTGCTTTCTAAACTTGCGAAGAAGTGACAAGTTGGACCGTGGCTTAAGATGAGAAGAATTCTTTGTTTCTTTTCTACATTATAAAGATGAGAAGAATCCTCTGTTTTCTTTCTATTCATCTTTTCTACGAAAACATCATGCACGCGCAGCGGTCGCCGCGCGGTCAGCAGTCGTTACGGTCAACGAATAAACGATACGTGTTCTGCTAGTCTGCTTCTTATTAGGAACACCTACTGAGGCATCCTTTTATCAAATTTGTTCTAGCAGAACATCGCATGAAGTCAAGATCGTCGTGATAACTTTTTCACATTTCTTATCAGTTAGCTTTTCTTTACTTGTGTGGGGAATCCGCAACACTTAATTGCGAGAGCATTGCAGGGCCAGGAGGCGCCGAACTGGTGACTCCGGAGTTTCCTTAATTCTCTGCAACAGTTTGGATATTTCTCAAACTGAAACAGGTTTTGATCTGATTACGAGTGGTACAGTTTCGCGTAAATCCAAAAAGTAAGTATCGCAAAAGTGCTGACCTCTTTATCGTTGAAAACGATGGTAGGAAGAAGACGATTAAACGTAGCACCTTCCTTCACGTGGTCTAGGATGTTGTTGAAGTATATACCAAATTTTTCGGATTTTATTCCCGATCCAAAGCTGAAACTATCATTTGAAAACATAGAAAATACAATTTCGAAAGTAGTTTTGAGTCCATCTCTGCACTTCTTTTTTGCCACTGAGATAAGAAGCTTCGAAACGCTAGGTTGACTTCAGAAGGACTGTCGCCTATTGTATTATTACTGTATCATGATGTACAGTTACTGACAATTACTCCATAACTTTCTTGCATCACCAATACATAGCTGATAAAATCGGAGCGGTCAAATTTTTAGCAAATTTTAGCGATGCAGTTAAAAACCGTCCACTCTTCAGCACCTCGAAATGTGAGAACTGTGCCAAAACTACCCTTTACGCGTTGCAGCTGTGCGAATAGCACCAATCTTAGGTTTAGGTTTGATGGTGAAATGTCATGCAGTACAACAGTATTCATTTCTAAACTCGCTCTATGTAAGTTTTTACATCATAAAGAGAGGCGAAGTATTAGGTTGATGCAAAAGTAATGGCCGATTTGCGAATTCTCACTTTGACCTGCTATAACTTTCTAAAAGATCAACATTTCTAAATGCGGTAAAAACCCACTGAAGCAGCAAACATTTCGCATTATAGCGCATACTTAACTGTACTTAAACCATGAACGGGAAGAGAAATATGGACTAAAAGACAAAAAAAGTTCTACTGTTAGAATCTTGCTTTTGACAATTCATAGCTTTCTTCAAAGTTTCTTAGTATAAATGATAAGTGGCCTATCTTGTAGCGCAAGCCATTAGTACAAAATACAATAAAAAGAGTTTGGACAAAAAAGTCTGCGAGAAAGGAAAAAATTGAAATTTAAAATTTCTCAGTTTTTTCAACATTTTTTCAGTGTACCTCAAAGTTCGGAATATAGAATTTTCTGATTTTCTACGTACTGAACAGCTGGATGTTTTTGCAAATACGGCTTATAAATGTCTTAGCCCTACGCTTACAGAATTGAGCAAAGCTTCGGCGACTGACTTCCTCAGACGAAAATTATGGATCATATAAAGACCGCAACAGCTACCCATGTTTAGGCGCCGATATTTCAGTCTGGATAACTTTAAAGAATACAACTAAGTATGCATAATGTAGACAGTTTCTATTACATACAACCGTTAAATTTTCGAAGAGATTCCATTGATGCGCGCTTGTATTCTGGCCGGAAAAGTGAATGCAATGAAATTCTGAATTTGGATGTGTTATTTGAAGCTCAGTAATTTTACAAGAGTTGAGGCTGAGAGCCCGTTTCAAGCACCGTTAGATAGAGCATGAAAACACCTTCGCGATGGTATACCACATCTTTTGTAAAGAAGAAGTATTGATGGGAAAAAGTTGCCCTGAAAAAAGGTTTGGAAAATCGGCCATTACTTCTGCATCAACCTAATACGAAAAAAAAGAAAACGAGCAAACACAAAACCTTGAAAAGGTCGGACATTTTCGCCTTTTACGCTCAACACTGCACGCGTTCGGCATAAAAGCACAGCTCTGGCTAGCTGGAAGATACGGGCCTGAGTCAAGTTAAGCGATATTGTGATAGACTGAGTGCACGGCGGCCGCCGCGCTCAATCTATCATAACTTCGCTTAATTTGCCCCACAAACTCTCCGATGATAAAGTAGCAAGACTGCAGGCTAGAGGGAGAAAGGTTGGGAGCAGATGCACGAGTCAATGCCATCAGTAGTATTGCGGCAGGGTCAGTTACGGGAACTGACTGTACTCAGGATTCGGCGCAGCTGGAAGCGGTCGAGCTGAATATCTTTGGGGAAAAAGCAAAGGCATTTTGTTCTCTCGGCCCAGACATGTACCGACACTCCATTTAATGGAAAACTAAAATAGCTCACCTATTGCTATGCTCACTCACTGAAACTCGTTCATTATATTATTTAGATAACTCTTCCACCTTCCAATTCTTGGTTGGTTTTGTCTTTTTCCATACTATTAGGTTGTAAAGAATGCTCCCGGGCACTTCTGGAATTTTCATTTCCAAACGCTTGGTCGGACTTTGACACCAAGTTTTTTATACTGTTCAGCAGAGAGAAGCAAAAAGTTTTCAATACTCCTTCTGACTTTTATCGATGCAGAGACGTATTTAATTTGCGCATCAAAAAAAAAATGATTGAAAAAATTTCTCTTCACATCAAGAAGAGAAATCTTTTAAACCACAAAATTTTACTACAAAATTCTACGGCCAATTTTTTATGCAGTTCAAAGAATGTCGTCTAAATCATGGGTGATCTGATTGAGAAGCCTGTTAACTTCTGACCAGCACGTACACTCGAGTTTTGCGACTTCGCTCAAAAATTACAAGTTGTACCTGCCTCTGACTACAACTCTTCGCAGCTGGCGTCGCTTCTGCGGAAATCGTCACGCGTGGATGATGGGTCAAAAAGATGTGCAAGGCATTACCCTAACAATGTTCCCAATGATAAAGATTTGCTTCTTTTTGTGCAGAACTAGAAAACTTCGAAGTAATTTACTCGAAAAATGGTGAACTTTTTGGAGGCAAAAAAGTCGATTTTTCAAACTTTCTTGGGAATATTTTTTTGCAGGTGGTCCTTCAAAAATTGAATGGTCCACATAACAGCCCCACCAGACCTCTAAATAACTACAGCATCTGGGCTTTCCAGCTCTCATCCTGCCTGAGATAATCCTCCACAAATAGGCAATTTGCAATCAAGTTTGTTGCTCAAAAAAATCAATCTGCTTGAAGTTGCAGCGATTCGAAAAAAATTCTCGCAAGTGCCCGGGAGCTTTCTTTACAACCTATTAATTTGGTTTCTCTGTTGCTTTTGATTACAATGAGTGCAAACAAAGTTTTTTTTACCGCAAATTATTGATTTAGACATGCACTTTAACTTTAAGAAGTTAAGGCCATACTGGCGGTGAATTAGCTCGATCTATTAGAAATAGCAGCTGGGTACAATCTGTGCTGGACTGACTCTTTGCTCAAGTAATTTCTCATACTTTTCTACATGAAATTTTCAAACAACCTCAAATCCCACAAGCTTTCTTCTGAGCTTTTACTCCTCTAAGGGCCGCATGCACTAACATGGCCGCGGGAAGTAGATCGCAGCTTAAAAGAAAGCTTTATATGTCGAAACTCCAGATACCTGGAGTTCACATTGTGTACCTATCCGTAAGTATTCCTACTACCCTTCACTACGAACATGTTGAAGAGGAGCGAGAAGATGTACGAACCGCATTTTCCAGCTTTTGTATGATCCCTGATGATCCCCGGCGCTTTTCTTTTAAGTCATTTGTTTTTTTCCAAAGTTAACGCAAAACTTTCAAAGTTGTGATTATCCAACCCAACAGTGCTAAGCATGTTGCTGATAAGAATAAATGATGTCTTGAAGTCATGAAACTTTCGATGATCCACAGGTCGAAATTTGGGGTATACAGAAAAATTTGATTTTTCAAAAATTCATTTCTTCTCATCAGCAACATGCTTAGCACTGTTGTGTTAGATGTTCAGTGTAACTTTGAAAGGTTTCCGTTAACTTCGGAGAAAGAAAAATGACTTTGAAGAATAGATGTTCGTCGCCGAGGGATCATCAGGAAATCCTACAAAAAGCTGGGAAATGCGGCTTGTACAGCTTCTCGCTTCTGCTCAATATGTTCATAGTGAAGGATGGTGGGAGCAATTACGGACAGATAGACAGCGTGAAATCCAGATATCCGGAGCTTCAAGATATGAAGCTTTCTTCTGAAGCTGCAATCCCCTCCCCAGCGGAAATGTTAGTGCATGCGGCCCTAAGAGCTTCAACTGGCGGCGCACTGCTCCGATTGCAAAAGCTGATCTCCGGGCTTTAAGCAAATCGACACGCAAAACTTTCATTTTCGTCAACTTCAGTGTTCACTTGCGTATCTTCTCCCTTCAATTTGCTAATACTAATTTCTGTTGCCTCCAATTTTCTTTTCAGATAACACTGGCCGATGAAAAGTTTTATTCCTACTGAGATTGTCCTGGTTTCGATTGATATCGAAATTAATATTGCTGAAGCTTCTCACGGCATGTAGCCATGAAACAAGCTTCGGCAATATCCATTTCCGGAAAAATGGAAATTGTTTCCTTATCACTTACTTTTTTGCGATTCTGAAGGGATCTTAGTTGGATGAACTGGTTTTGATTAGTATTCTGCTAGTGAATAAAACGTCCAACTCAAAATCTTTTACTGAAGTGCGGATGAGCCCATACCACCTAATCTTTTGCTTCTCTTCTTATTCAGATAGCCCACTCTGTCTCATTATGGATCCAGTTCTTCAGGGCTTGCTGTAGGAAAAATTTACTAAGGCTGAGGATAAAAAAGGTAAAAACCAGGAAGGCATTTTGTACAAAATGCAACAATTTTGCAATTTTCTACAACGACTCTCATTCTCAAAGTGATGCGATTCAACAGTCTGGTAATCACATAACATCTTGTGAGGGGAGTACTTCTCAGTTTGAAAACAACAGTACTGTACCAAGTGAGACTCTGCCGCTTTAGCTTTTTTTCGTTTTATTCATTAATAGTTTACATTAATTTTCACAATTTTATATTCACATTACCAGCTTCATTACTGTCGTCATCCGTAGTGCTGAAGGTATACCCGCTGACCATTTCCATACCGTCCATTCTTTTCAAAACCTTCACCGCGATATGCGTACGTAGTGTACTTCGGGACAAAATCGCACCAAAATCGGAACAAAACAAGTTGATGGCTTCCGCCGGTGCGTCGGATTTTGGTGCGAATGCATGTGGTGAGCGGATCTCCTGCGAAAGTCAACGACGAGTGTCTGAGTCGGCGGTCGCCGGCAATTTTTTCACATTACGAGCGGCATTGTATCGCGTCTGCTAAGAGAAAAAAAGAGACAAAGTGCGTCATTTGGGCCCGTAGTAAACCCCTCGTGGTTGTCACAACATAGAGGGACTATGTCGTGATAGCTCGGAGTATCTCGCAAGACTATAGCGAGCTATCCGCAGGGCGCCGCAAAACGAACACCTCCCCGTGTCATCGAACCGCTGATGACCGCGATAACAGCGCCCACACGCGCTGCGCTATAAGTACCGAGGTCACAGCGTTTTACTAGGAGAGGAAGAACGCGCGTAGCAAATAAAGCTGTTGTAATAAAATCAGTAGGGGCACACGACATGCAGTTTTACTTGCAATATGTCTGATCCGTAATATTGATTTTTAGAAGTAATTACTGCTCTCGCAATAGGTGTAAAAATGCACATATAAAGCATTTGAAGATAACGCGTAGATAGCGCAGTGCCAGTGTCAGAGGCCAGCGTGCCCAAGGGGAAAGAGTTCGAATCCTACGCGATGCCGCCTTTTGCAATTTGTTAATAGTTGAATTTTCATGCAAATGAACTCATGTTAGGAAATTTCCTGCTAGTAAAGAGAAAATGGCATTCAGAACAGTCGATGTTGGAAGTGCATAAGAAAAATGAAAATATCATCAAGCATTTACTGCTTTAGTTTGTTCAAAAATTTGCTATTCCCTTAGTCGTAGCACTCAGACGGTCCCTTCTCTCAAAAACAGAAGGGAAGCGAGAGGTGTACGGCTAACGAACAGCAATTCAAGCAAAACTATGTGTTTAAAAATGCTAGGATTGAAGAAGAGATAGAAATTTGAGGAATTTTAGCACGAAAAAGAGATTTGGTGCGCACATGAGGCGCATTGTGAAAGTAAAAAAGAAAAATAGCACAAGCACGAATTAGCAAGCAGAAAATGTGACCAAATCTACATTTACGTCGAAAACAACTCACCTTTTTCTGAATAACGGGTGTACAAAGCAGAAGTATCTAGCAAATGGGAGCGCCGCATTGCTCGGACGGTTAGGCGCTATCAGCTGCTGATATTGATTGCAGTTGACGTGCGTTTTAGAGAACTGGGTGCATGTGCGACCTATTGCGAGGTTGGCGTAGTCGAGCTCTAGTCTTGCGCTATGTCTCTGCGTCTCCATGATGTACAAAGTATTTCGCCGTCTCGTCCATCACGACATGTCGCAATATGTCGCTATATGTCGCGATATGTCGCGACATATGGCGACAAAGTGGGACTACCCCGGCGCTTCGCATTGATTGCATCCGCCGGCAATGATAAAGGATAGCCGCCTTGCCTGCCTCGCTCCATGGTAGTCAGCACATGTCACGGCGGACTCCGATATACGTCAGCACATACGGGGGGTCTACTACGGGCCTTGATTTCTTTTGAACGGAAACAGCTTTCCGTTTTGCGCTACCGAATGTCCTGAGTCTACACTCGTAAGCATCCGATGTTATACGATAGCTTGCAGTCTAGGATTTTTTTGGCGTAAAATAACACAATCGCGCAAGTTCACGCTGATTTTTTAGTTTAAAATTTCTTGGAAGTCTTGTTCCATCGTGCACTCAAAGCACAACGGTTTTGTATCTGTGCACATTTCCAAAAATTTTGCTTTCTTCGCCAAACTTGGAACTAACAGATTTCGTGGTAAGTTTTGGAACTGCATCTTTTCCCAAGGCACGGTTTCGAATGTATGTAGCAGGTAAACAAAAGCACATATAAGAAACTAGAGGAAACGGGGGGCGTATCGTTACGTGCGGGCTGCCAATTGGAGAACGTCGCGCGCGACAGGCTGCCAGTGACCACACTCGGAGAATTTAGCCAGCGTGATCTGCAACACATAGTTTGTTTCTCATCCTTTTTTGGGGTTCGCAGACTATTCTTATATTATTTTACTTAATTATTTGAAGTTCTGCCACAAAAGTTGTAAAATGAGCTGTTAAAGGACAAAAAAGACACAAATTGAAGGAGGTAAAACACTAACAATATAGAAAAAGCGTTGGTAATCTAGTGATATAAATCTGACAAGTTTTCTACACTGCTGCTTCCCCCGCGCAGTTACTGTAACGCCGCGTCGCGACTTTTTCCATCTAGCAGCCCGCACGTAACGAGCGCCCCCCGAGGAAACGGGCTTTCAGATGGTTTGCAAATTTCTCTGCGACAAATGGTTTCTTCTTTGTAATCAACCTTCTAAAAAAACATGGAAAGGCATTTTCATCGCGTTAAGATTGAAAATCAAAAAAAAATTTAGAAGACCGTTGTGTTTTTTGTTGATTTGATGCTATCTGATTTTGATGAGCATAACAAAACATAAAGCGCATCCAGATGTGAACTGGAAGTACTTGAGACCAGAAATTTTCCGGACACCCGGAATTTTCCGGTAACGGTTATTCAGGCAAGCGTTACTCACGCTGTGACATGCTCTTTTAAAAAACACTTGCGTTATTGAAACGTTAACAACAGGTATCGTCACTATTGGTGTACGTTGGGAAGCATTTACGACATTTGAACGCGTTGGTAAAAGTGTTAACCCTCAAATGCAAGGCATTGTTCTGTGTAATCTCTTGCTACCCTGCCACGTATGACAACAGCATGTATACGTGGCAGTTTAGAGAGTACAAAGAACCATACTATAGTAGAGGTTTGATAAGTCACCAACGCGTTCGGATGTCTGCAAATGCTCTGTCCAATGTACACCAGGGAGGCGACTATAGCTTGTGTGCAGTGCGCAGGTGATGGTATATTACCATCACGACTGTATACATACAAGCAGCTTTGCAGCGGCTCATTTGAATTCAAAGGGAGCGTCTGGGAATCAGGAGCTGAGGAATTCTGCACTTGGAAGTAGGCCCTTTAAAGGCAATGTCACAAAAAATTTGAGGTGGACTGGACTTGTTGACTAGACACTGCTTTTCAGATCAGTATTACAGCAATATCTGGTGCTCGATATTCCTGCGGATTACGGCTCAACAGACCCTGTTTCGTACATGGGTTCAAATATAAAACTTTAGAAAACCTTGCTTATTGAAAGTCGAAGTATGCGAGATCAGAAAGATGGAGTGTTGCGAAGGACGTCTCAGAATATGGAAGAGGGAAAAAGCGTCAAGCGCTTGACAAAACCACTCGACGAGCCACTTCTAATGCAGTCCTTTCTGCCCAACCAAGGTTGTATACGTTAACTTAACGTAATTGGACTGTTAGGTGGGACAATGCTTCAAGGATGTATTGCGAGATCAAAGACTTGCAGAAGTTTCGAAGTAAGAATCCTTGTTGGATTGAAATCTGAATTTTTTTTGGAATCAAGTTTAAGCGTTTCTTCTACCTCAAACAACTTCAAATCGACTGCACAAATCCTGCTCCTCAACTCAAAATTCCCACCACTGCTAATTCGAAAAAAAAATTGGAAGAATGTTACTGAAGCCAGAATTCATCGCTGGGACAGTTGTTGATTAGAGAGCCTTTAAACGGTTGCGGATACAAGTATATGTTACTGTCAACGCTAACGTTGTATAGCTGTCTTGAACTGCTTGCGAATGCTCTGAAATATCTACTACTAATGCCGCTGTTATTACAAGTACATCAACAACAGACATTTGACGTAAATATGAATTCTGTCGTTTTTCGAAATGCATTCTTGTCTTATTTTTGCTAACTTACAAACTTCCAAGTGTTCCAACATAAGCGATAGCCTTGCGTTCCTTTTTACTTACAATCACAAACATATTTGAATGCCAGTCCTAAAAAGATCGTTTTTTTGCATTGCTGTTGCTGCGTTAGGATATACTAGAAATGGCTTTAAGAACGAAAAGAATGCTGAAAAATAGTTTAATTGCTTACTTCAGATGCTGATGGGGTGTTATCTTCAATTTTGTGAGTGAGATTCTTTGCAATCTTCTCTTCGAGATTCTTGCAAATTCCAGGAATCGGTGTCTCGCTTTTCTTCGTAGCATTTGCCTTGTACCAGTCTCTGAAATAATTTCTCAATTTCAGTGTTTCTGTTTTTTTTTGCTCCTTAGAAAAAGTCAGATGGTTAAGCAATGATAGCGTAAATTACATGGCACATTCTCCGGCATTAACACCCGGTATAGCAGAATGCAAAGTATACTTTTTGTTAGCACTCTTATGGGAACTTTAAAGGGACTTCACACTTTCACAGGGCCTGATGGCAGCTCCTCCATTTAAGTTAGTTCATTCTGATTATCATAGATGGCAGCATGCTCTAGCTACAGTTGTATCAGTGGGATTGGTCAAAATTGGGGGATTTGGTTACTTTTCCAAAGCAACTTTATTTGGATGCAAGAGGACTTGGCTTCAGCTTGATGAGGCGAATCTTTTAGTATAAGTTATGCCCGTAGTCCATGGTGATACGGTAGAAATATGATAGTACTTTGTTATTTTCAAAATTTGTTCACAAGAGCAACGATACATGTTAATCTCATGTCCAATACAATACAATGCACTATGAAAAACTGGCATAATTGTCTACTAAAAGATTCGATTCATCAGGTTAAAGCCAACTCTTCCTGCAGAATTTCAAATAAAGTTGTTTTGGAAGAAGTCATAACTTGGCCGGACTCCACCGATGCAACTATATATTGGAGCAGGCTGTAATATAAGTCTTCTAGTCCACCCTTTCCAAGTTTGCAGATTTTGTGTTGATTGAGCACCTCTGTGATTGGTTAAGCTTTTTGGATAAGCAATTAGGCTGATGTAATAGTTCTTGCGTATTTAGAAGAAAATTCAATAGCTATTTAAGTACTGGACCTAAATTCATTTTGTATTTTCTGAAAACGATGAAATTGCTCACTATAATGGATGTTGAGGCATAATTTTTTGCAGCTGGCCGTTAAAAAGGAATATTAAAAAAAGAACATTTCAAATTGCGATCTTGTGAGTTGCAAAGGGCCCCTGAGCATGAGAAAATCTGCAAACATTCTCGCGTAGCAGTTTCAACTTTACCGTGGCAGGCTTCCATCTTACATAGAAATGCAAAATGTCATGCTACAAAGTTCCCTTATTGCTACAATTTCTTAACGGAATTACAGTTCATGCCCAGAAAGTGAGTTGATGCTCAACTAGAGCCTCGTGGAGTTTCTTTGGGCATTACACAGTGTTTTTATTTTGAAAAACTGCGGCATTAAGAGATTTTTGCTGTAAAATGGCATTTTTACAGAATTTCGTATTTTGCGTTTTCACGCGAGATTGAAGACTGCCCACAGTACGAACAAATGGTAAGTTTTTTTCGCAGTTTCTGAGGCTACCTAGCAGGCCTCCGCAATTTCTTGGCACCAAACTCAGAATCGCAGCTTCGGTCTTTGTAGCTAGCTAGCAAGTTTCAGAAATTTAGCTGCCTGAAAAATTATTGAAGTTGGAGTGATTTTATACTCCTGCTTCCATGTGTTAAATGTTGACTTAAGTGAGGATACTTGGTTTTTTAGCCAACTTTTTATAGCAATATTCAATTCAGTCGTTGAATTTGTCCGAGCAGTTAACAGTATTCGAAAAATGACCACACAAGTATTATTATTTGAATACTTTAAATCCTCATTCTCATACACTGAGCAAAATCACTGCAAGTTTTGTTGAGTCCGTCCGAAAGTGGTGCCGTTTTTTGGACTTAACCTCGAATCGTTTAGAGTAATAAAAAGCAAATGCTCCAAGTAGTGATAGAGTTCCTTCCTCTTTCTAGTAGTGATGTTTTCGTTCCGAGATTTTTGATGGTCGCTTCATTGGTCGTAACCAACTTATGATCTTTACCTACCCATTTTTTCAACTTTTGGAAGAGCTTTCATCATTATCGGATAGGGCAGTCGGGCTGGAAGACGATGATTTTTTGGGCTTCTTTGAGTGGGCGCAAATATTTTGAAGAAATATTCTTAAGTCTTTATTTTTACGTAATCGTAGAATATATTAACGCTTTGACTAATAATCTTTAAAACTTCCAAAGGTTGATTATGATTGAGTGTTAATTTAGCGACGGAAATGACGTTCACTGCTGTGGAATATTTAAGATTTTCCGAGTACAGCTTGGGATGCGTTCAGAAACAGAATTACGACGATTCTGTTCTACCCTCACGAATCACATTTATTAGAAAGAAGAGCACAATCTGCATCGAGGGCTCAGCTGCTTGCTGTTTGATCTTCTATGAAGTTTGGGATGAACAAATGTGGAATTTGGCTGCATGAAAAAAATTACTCAAAATTTTTGAAAATCCATCTATGCCAAAAAACGCTTTGTCTTGGAGCGTCAGAGGAATTGGAACTGGAACACCATTTCTGGAAGAAGGAAGAAATTCCGCATCGAAACTGTTTGAAACGTTTGTCTATGTTTTGAACGATTTTAGAATAGGTGTTACAAACTACACGAGCATTCGGACCAACCTAATATTATGAATCAAAAGAAGGCACATCTAAATTTCAGATGGTGTCACCCTCATGTGATGTGTTGGAGATTGAGTAAAAATTCTCGACACGTTTTAATGGATATAGTTTTTTCTGCTAATAATATAGGAACCCTTGCAGTATATATCGATAAAGCAAAAAACTCTTAAGCCCTCCATGCTCAGTTAGGTGAATGATTGGTTTGAAGCAATACCGATCAACAGCGAGTTTATATGGGTTGAGAACCATAGAGCTAATAATATTTTTGACTTAGCGTAGCTAGCTTCGGTCAAACCAATAAATAGTGAGGCAATGGAAGGGATCGATTTCTGCGGTACGTAACCTTCGAAATGCGAATGCTGGCGCTAATTATGTGCTCAGGGCCCGGCGGGGGTGGCGTTTTCACAAGCTGGATATCGTTTTTGGCCCGAAAAAGCAAAGGGGAAGTCGTATTTTGGGGTCCGCCCTAAAACGACTTTCCCTTTGTTTACCGATAAACAATGCACATATCATTCTTTATTCATCATTCCTTGTTGATGCTACTGTCCTATGAACTTAGATTCCAGCAATGTGGAGATTCTGTGCTCCGATCGCTAGCCTGCCCGCAGGCGGGAATTCAAATCGCAACTCTTGTAAGAGGAAAATAGCAAAATAGGCTCGTTTTCAATGCACAAGTAACGATATGGCACCAAATTCGCTGCGTAGTTGGAGGACCATGAGCACAAAAAAAGTATGAAGAATTATGAAAAACTTATGAAAAGTTTAGATGAGAACCAAACATCGAACCGTGAAGAATGGAAGAGACTTACGAGAGTAGCAGACCCCGTGTGAACGGGAAGATGCAAGGATAAAAAAAAAAATTATGAAAAACTTATGTGACTTTAAAAAAATGGTAAGTGTTTTTCGAAATTAGGTGGCTCCCGCGCCACCTGGGGTGGCTCCCTGCTTCCCTTCACATAATTTCCCGGATTTCTTTACATAAATGTGGACTAGGTCGAGAGTATTACTATATGTTCAAATCCGCTTCCAAAACCACCAAGGCACCGCTTCGATATAGCTCCAAATAGGGTTCACAGCGTTATGATCGGCCTCGGAAAGCGCGCTCCAATCGCAATCGGTTATTGTAAATTGTAGAGTTTCGCAGCTGACTAATAAATGAGTAGTATCTTATATATATAAACGCCAAAGTTTGTGCAAATCTTGACCCTATGTTTTTCTATAGATTCCTTTGCGGATGAACCCATTGAGCTTAAACCTTGAAAACATATGTTTTCGGCCTCGGTAGATGGTTTTAAGCTGCCCTTCGAAGCAATTCGTGGAATTCTTCTATCGATTTAATGATTTTTGGCACCTTGCAAGGAAAGTGAACACTTACCAGCCGCTAACAAACTGCTTGCCATTTTGGTGTGAACAATGCAGTGAAGTTCATTTCCACTTCAAAATTAGAAGGTGCAACCACTCCAATTAGCCTTTCTGGGGTAAGCTCGTGCAGGAGGGTAAGGGGGAGGGCTGCAGTGCAGTATTGATACTGCAGCGGAAGGGAAGGTAGAAGGACAAAGTGTGGTTTTTGGCCATCCCCTCAAACGATGACCCGGACCAGGAAAGCCAGGTAGTACTACTATAATAAGCGCTGAGGCCGCCCATCTTATTATTTGTGTATATCTGTTTGTCAGGGACTTACGGGGGTCAAAAATAGGGTCAAAGAGGAAGTCGTAAGAAATTTTGGCTTCAAAGGGGATATAGTTTTCAAAATTCTGAAATGCCACCTCCTGCCGGGCCCTGTATGTGCTTGTGAAAGTGCTATGAACTCCTCCTATACTAAACTATACGACATTTCCAGTCAACTAATAACTCCAGATTTTACTCATGGCTCTACTCCTAACGGGTATCTAATAGTGTTGCGTCTTGATGAATATGGATATAGATCAGGAGGTGTTAGCAATTCTGATGACCATCGTGACGGAGACTCGCATCTAAACGAGAAGCATGTCTAGTCGGAGTGGCTTTAATTGTGAGTTATATACATCTTGGATGGAAAAAGGAAAAACGCCGAATATGCCTTCTTATTTGCAAAGCTGTTCTGGACGAAGAGTTATGAGCGGTTGGAGTAATATACAGGGTCTCCCAAAAAAAGTTTCTACTGTTTGATTGTTAATAATTCTCTTACAATTAAGTCTTTCGAGAAGCTTTAGGTACCTTTTTGCAGAGCTAGCTTTGACTTAGATTTTCTCCCTTCGTAATTGCAGAATTACGGTAGAAACTTCAAAGAGCGTTTTGAGCCATGAAAGACCACATCTTGCCCAAAACAGTTTGAAAACTTTCATATTGGGCTTATCAAAGTTGCTGATACTAAATATGAAGTTCACGAGTTATAACAATGCTTCAAGAAAAAGATATGCGAGGTAAGCAGTAGCCGTCGTTTTTCCAATGTTCCTTAAAAGTTCGGTTACACCGTTAAGAAAGCTTCACGACCTTTTGCGTAGTTGAGTATTGAACTCAGCGTCAATAAAAATCCTATTATATTATATTATCTCACATTTTTTTTTGAAAATTTTTGAAACGGCAGCTTTTTTTACAGTAAAACCATATGCTTGAAGTTCTTAACGTAATTCTACAGTAATGAAGAGCGACCAATTCGCTCTGTCTTAAATCTAGTTTAAACCGTCTCTATATAGCAGTATCTGAAACTTCTCAAATCACAATAGAGTTATTAACAATCAAATAGAAGGCACATTTTTGGGACACCCAGCAGTGGCCGAAAAAAATTAATTGCTGAATCTTTTCAGTGATTAGGTGAGGCATCAAAATTTTTTCATCTAATGTTTACTGCATAAGATACCAATGATCACTATTGTCAAGGCCCTGCATTACTGGATATGAGCCCCTTCGAGTGAGTGAACTTTATGAACGATAGCATGTGCCAGCCGCCAGCTGGCTACCGTAATCGGTGCGCTGAACCCCTTGGTTACTTTTAGCGTAGTAATGACTTGCACCCATGGGAGGACTCTTTTTTTATCATTCATGCTTGTATCATTGCTGCAGTACAGGGTGTCCCAAAAAATGTGAACACTGTTTGATTGTTAATAACTCCGTAGCTTTCATGTCTTTCGCCGAGTTTGAGGCATTATTCTGTAGAGCGAGATTTAGCTTAGATTTGTAGCATGAAGCAAACACCGATCGCTCTTTGTTACTGTAGGATTACTGTATGAACTTTTAGCATGTGAATCTGTTGTGAAATGTGCCATTTGATGAAATTTTTTTCAAAAAATCTGAAAAATCGTCTACTAAGGTTTTCGCGCACGCTGATTCCACTACACAACTTTTTAGAGTGTTTTTAGCTTTTTAAACGGTGTAATCACATTTCTGACAAATGCTAGGAATCCAATAATTATTTTCCTGGAATAACTTTGGAAAGAAACATTACGGTAAAGTGGAAATTTCATATTCGAAATCAGCGGCTTCCATTACCATAGTATAAGAGATATTGGCTTGTTCGGTTTTGTTACGAGGCAGAATACGGCTTCCAATGGCCTAAAATCCTTGTCCAATTTCCTACAATAATCCTAAAGTAATTAAGAGGCAATCGGTAATTCGCTCGACACTGAATATCTAAGTTGAAGCCTCCTCTACTGAAAGGTACTCAAATGGCGGAAAAAGACATAATAGAAAGAGAGATGTTAACGATTGAAAAGTGTGTACTTACTCTTGGGACACCCTGTATATTGATACTGGCTTTCAGTATGTTTAGGTAGAGTACAAAAGTTCGTAGAAACACAAAAGAGTAAGATAAGCGCAGAACGCATTTTTTTTATGACGGATAGTCAACTGATTTCCCAGATGATCTCTACACATTGCTAGTGATGGTGCATCACAACGAGTATTCGACTGTAACACTAAGGCTTTGTGACTTCTTTTATAGAAATGCTTAGCAAACGAAGATTAGAAAAACAAACTGTCATCATTGTTCCGGTTGGACCGCAATGATAAGCATCCTTTTGCTGCGCCAATGCAAATTGATATTCTTTTCTGTTGGAATCATTTGTCTGTTGAAAAAAAAAACAGTAGAAAGAGCTTGTAACGAACATTTGTTGCGGAAAACCGTTGCGATTATTGTATTTGGCGGGTAGGGGGACGAACTCCGTTATTTTAGACAGCACTTTTTTGTAGCAACTCGTCTTTTTGCAATGTTGTTGCACGTGTTGCAGCATTAGGTAGTCCGCGAAGGCGGCTCAAATTGGTCAAATTCGTAACACTTCCCTTGGCTCATATGGATGAGAACTAATTTTTACTACCAAAATTCCACAAACTCTGAAGCTGCTGCCTAAAATTTATGGAGAAGTGCAAAGAAAAACTGTGTGCAGTGTTCCTTCTCTATCCTTTAGCTAAAAATCTGCTTTTTTCTAATGCAACTTCACAATTACTACTTTATGGTTTTATTTTGAAGTTAGCATTTGAGGAAAATGAGTAATGCGCCGGAATTTACCACTCTCGGTGATGTCAAAAGGCTTCTTTACGATTGTCGATTTTCTGCTTTATACTTTTTGAAAGGACTTTTGAAGTCTACTGAAATTTACTACTAGTAATAAAATAAATGTGAGACTGAAGCAAATAGGCAAATAGGCAATTTCTTCAGATTATAGTTTCCTTCCCTGTACAAAGCTTGTTTTCCTTTGCATTCAATTTCAGCTTCGTACAAGCATTCCTGCTTCAAATAGCAACCATTCTATGAGAATGCCACAACAAAATCCCTTTTTGCTTGCGCTCCAAATGCGAGCCATATGTAAAGGGAGTTTGTCGTTGTGTCTCGCACTCAGTTTTTCGCCAAGGAAACATACGATAATTTGCATACTTGACATTTTCAATCACTTTCGAGATCATGTCGTTCACAGCAACTACACGTCTGGTAATCTTGCCTTCTTCTTCGCCGAGAACTGAAATCATGCTGGAACTAACACAGAACTCCATTTATATTAGGTTGATTCATTATTAATGCACGTCTTCCATAATACAGCATTGAAATAAGATGAATCGCTTCCAGAATTAACTTTCTGGGCAAATGTTGCAAATGTGTCGTCGAATTGTTGTCGAATGTTGCAAAAAAGACGGGCGACGTGGAGCTATAGCACAAGACCTTCGCCGCCAAAGCTCGCCACTCAATCGGCATGCGCACCGAGCTGGCTTACCGTACTCCGCACATTTTGCACCAACGCGCGTGAGCCATGAGGCAATCGTGCGAACGCAGCCTCGTTCAGCTTCGGCGCAGTGATGTCACGACTTCCCAAAAGGTTACATGAAAAAGCACTCAGAAAAAATTGCTCTCTGTTTTTCAATTTTGACTTGTTGTCCGTCGCGCCGCGATAAGGTGAATAAAAATAAAGTTGTCCATTTTCTTCTTTTTTTATTCGATAACATTTTTCTTTCATTTTCGAACAAAAACAAAGGAATATTGAAGTGAAAATCTCTTATTAAAGCTCATCGCAATAACGGGTCACTTCACATAAGTCAATAAACATTTATTATTTCGAAAGAGACATCTCAGAAAACTCAATCTCACATACAATTTTGTTTTTGTAGATCCTTGTCTTATTTCTTTCGGCATTATGGAGGTCCTCTTATCGCTATAGTGCAATGGCAACCGAATGGCTATATTATGGCAAAAGCAAACAGCAAGAAATTAAAATAAAAAGGAAGAAAATTAAAACAAGTGAAAGAGTTTCGGGGTTGAACGAGCCTATCCTTTTTTTTGAAGTTGAAAGGAACATGAAATCAAATAAAAAAAAGAAAATGGACAGTTTTTCCTCGATTTTACACCTTATCGCGGTGCGACGGACGATGCCGCAGGTCAAAATCTGAAAGGCCAACTTTTTCTGAGTGTTTTTTCTTGTAACTTTTTTTAAAGCCGCAACATCGCTGCTCGATGTCACTATACGACGAAGCTGGCGAAGTGCGTTCGCGCGATTACTTCATGACTTAAAGGCAGTGTCCGGGCAAAAACTCGATTTTGAGATTTTGTGCTTACTTGGGCCTATTCGCTACGCTGAATCCGAAAATGCACATTCTAGAGCGCAAAAATGGCGAAAAACGGCTCTAACACAGGAGGGAAATGAGCAAGTGGGCGGGGTCCTCCCCACTGCGAATTCACGTTCCCGGCTTCCGGAGCGACCTTCTCGCTTCCGGTTTCAAGTCAATCATTCGCACTTGACCGGTAGCGATGTTAGGACGGCTAGCGGAATCGAGAATCGCTCCGGGAGCTGGGAGCGTGAAATAGCACTGGGGAAAGCCCCGCCCACCTGCTGATTTCCCTCCTGTGTTAGAGCCCTTTTTCGCCGTTTTCGCGCTTTCCAATGTGGATTTTCGGATTCAGCATGGCGAATATGCCCGTATAAGCACAAAATCTCAAAATCGAGTTTTTGCCCGGACACTGCCTTTAAGCGCACCAGTGCAAAATGGGTGCGGAATAAGTAAGCCTATGGCGGCAAGATTCGGCGGCGTGGGCTTCGTCGTGTAACGAGATCCTCCTGAAGACGAGTGTACCCACTTTTTCTTAGAAATTATCAATTTTTCTCCGTTGGAATATGAGGAGTCCTTCGCATTTTTCTGCCATCAAATAAACTAGGTTCACCCTTGCTGCATTCTGCAAAAGTTCTGCAACCACCTTTTGCCTAAGAGTACACGGCAAAGAGCGGCTTCAGCAATCCAAAGTCGCGATTAAATTTCTCGGCTCGGAGTTCGTGGGATATCTTGTTCAAAAAAGCACAAGGCTGCTCAATTGTTTTGCATATTTTTTGAGATTATTTCGGCTAATCTTTATGGGATTAGGGCAAAATGAAAGGCAAGATCTAAGATTCAATACCTTTTATTTAAAAGCATAAAACTTTGGACGAACAAAGATCCACTATAACAAAAACTTGACTTTAGAAACTAACAAACGAAAGAAAGAAACGTTGTAAGAAACGTTTTACCAGGCATGATAAAAAGTTTTTGTGGAAATTGATTCTGTTTGAAACAAAGCTTTAGAAAAGAGGTATCCTATTTTCAGGTGTGTAAGCCGTGGGGTGGTCTTAGCTTACATCGGCCAGCCTGAACACCTCAAAGGACCTCGCAAGAGGAATCTATACCGTGTTGCGTATTGCCTGAAAAAATCGTGCGGCATAAGGATCGCTTCTCAAAACGCAATGAAGCGGCTAAGCAGCTCGGTTAGAATTTCAAAAAGTGCGGCTTATAAGCCGGAAGATAAGTTAAGAAAAACGTGCATTAATTATAAATCAGTCTAAGATTTAGTGACTGGATTTCTAGAAAGGCGTTATTATCCGTATACTCACGATTTTCCATTTGGATTTTTGCCAGGGCTTCGTCAAAGGGTCCGGGCATACAGAGTCTGCGTTTGCCAAAACGTAACCCATCGCTTTGGGTATCTTTGAGCCATGGTACCGACCCGGTACCTTCTATAAGCGAATGCAACGCATTTGCAAGCTTATCGTTTGCATAGCAACCTGAAGGTCGAACATTGAGCTATATCCGTGCTCCCTCAACATTGTTGACTAGAGTAGAAAACAGATATTTAGACTTACTTAGGAATTTCTCTTCATCTGAACCGCAACCGAAGCTGAACACAGATTCGAATGTGGTATCGAGAACATGATACAACTTAAAAAAGTTTTCCATAATATTGACAAATAAGTTGCAACCATTGAAAACTTCGTGTTTTGCTCTACAGGTTTACCCTCTGCACCATTTTCCAGAATCCAACGCAATCTTTTCGTAACCGAGCCTAACCATTACCTTAATTTTGTAAGAGCAGAAACAACAATTGCAAAACTACAACGCCTTTTAAGATGCAGGCACGCACACAAATACACAACGACCGCTTCAATCTGCTGCCATGCCATGAGGAAGCTTTGAGCCCTGGGTACATTACCCAGGGCTCAAAGCTTGTGAAAGGCTTGAAACTCACGTGGAAAGCAAAGTAGCAAAATACGTCAAAGTATTTGTGAGTGTTGTAGTCCTTGTCTTGTTGGGTCGAACCGGATATAGTGGAATACTCAGTAGTTTATTAGCTGATCGAAATAATGAATGAATAATCAAGTGGTTACGGAGCTTATATTAGGCTGGTTCATAACTGATGCACGTTTTTCCTATCTTTTCTTTCAAACGCTAATTTTCAATCAAAAATCGTTTTCTCTAAAACCAACTGAACTATCGGAAAGCTCGTTTCTTCTATTTCCTGATGTACACTTCTGTTTTCGGAAATCTTTGTTCAGACCGAAGTTTCGTACCTTCAAAGGTAAGGATCTCAAACTTGAAATTATTCCCTTTCATTCGATTTGCCCTAAATCCATGAAAAATGCTCACAATTGTTTCAAAAAAGTGTTATAATAGCGATGATTTACGAAATGCTCGCCAAGGCTGAATTTTTTGAAAGTTCTGAGCCGAGAACCTTTGATCCAAACTTAGCTGAATGCAGGGATCACTCGGAGTTCTATAAAATGCTTATGTGGGAAACGATTACAGAAATTCCTCTTGGTTCTAGTAGAGTAGACTAACGGCAAAATCTCCTCGTTTTTCAAATGAGAAAAAATTGGAAGAATCTGAAAAATACGGTTTTTCTGCCCTCTCTAAAATGCACGAGAAAATGATACTTTTGCTTCTTGGCAATATTTTTTTCGCAGAAAATTCTTGGTAAAACCCAAGTTCCAAGCTACGATTGAATCGACCATCGGCTACACAGTGAGCAAAGTTTCCTCCATTCTGGTCCTTTTGAGAGCAAGTTATGCTATTCCAAACTAGAGCTCAGAAAAAAATTCTCGGTAAATTTTGCGCCGGAAAATCTTTCCCGTGGTGAGTACAATAACATAAAAGTATATATTGAATAGCTTAAAGTTTGCTGTTTACAACAGTTTTGATGCAAGCAGAAAGATTGTTTTGGAAAAGAATTATCTTCATTAGAAGTGGAAGTTGAGAAAACGTGCATTAATTATGAACCAACCTAATATATAAAATCCGATTGTGAGAACGTACCACTCGGTACCACACGCCTGAAAAGGCTTCATGAGAACAAGCGGAAAGCTCATGGAAAAGAGTTTGAATCCAACATAACAAGATACTGGGAATAGAAACATAACAAAAACAAGGATAAGCGAAACAAAGCAAATACTACATATATACACATCATTCCCCAACATCTCCCCCCCCCCCCCCGCCCCTTAAGTTTCTAATTAATTTCGTTTTTTCGACGGATCCACTTCAAGACGGTGTGTTGTTGGTGGGCCCTCTGCGAACGACGGCGAACACGCGACCGCGACGGTGGAGTGGTGAAGTCGTCGACGTCCCTAGGCGCGACATCGAGAATTGGCCGCGTCTCCTCAGAGGTATCAGCTCCCTAGGCAGCGGATGCGGGAATATCCACGGTCACGGCGGAATTCGACGTTCTGGAAAGGTCGAAGCCTAGAAGGTCGAGTTCATCCAACAGCGTGCGAGTAGTATCGGCTGGCATCGGGAACAGCACGAGGGCGCGGCTGGTTGGCATGGCGTCTCCATACAAATTCTTCAACTTCGACGTGTAAAGTGAGCGTCCAATTTTTGGTCGTACACGTCCTGGAGTCCAAGTAGGTTTCGATGGATTGCAGTCGCGAGCGTAGACGGCAACGCAGACTTCGAATTGCTTCTTCTTGGCTTCATACTACGATTGCTGAGTTTGCATCGCGGGTTTCGATCCGGGAGAGCAGCTTTGTGTGGCAGTTCTGGCGCCAGTGACCAAATGCGAGGGTGGTGTATTCAATCTTCGTTCAAGAAACATCTCGGCGGGCGAAAGATTTTCAGGCGAAGACTGGCAGAACGTACTACGGTAACGTAGCAGTAGCTTTGATAGCGCTTCCGGAAGGTTTCCTTCTCCTTTCAGCTTCAAAAGTCGTCCCTTGAAAAACTCGACGAAGCGTTCAGCAAGTCCATTCGAATGCGGGTGGAATGGCGGAGTCCGAATGTGCTTGACCCTGTACTCCTCGAAGAATTGGAAAGAGAATTGTGTGCCGTTGTTCGAAACGAGCGTTTCTGGAGATCCAAATCTGCTGAAGATATTAGAGGCTTATGCGTGGTAGTTGGTGACGCTGTCGTTTGCATTTATATGATTTCAGGCCAGCGAAAGTACGCATCTACGACGACAAGGTACATGTGTCCGTATAGCGGTCCAGCGAAGTCGATATAACGTTCCATCGGTCAAGTTGTGATCGGTCATGGAGTCAATTCAGCTTTACCGGGATTCTTAGCGGCAAGTTGACTCTTAACTCCTTCTTCGATACCAGGCCACTAGACGTACTTGCGGGTAAGCAGCTTCATTCGGACTTATCCAGGATTCGATCGTGAAGCATTCGCAAAATCTTCCTTCTCAGGGGGCGGGTACGACGATCCTGATTCAAAGAAAATGCATTCGTTGTAAGTGGAGAGTTCTTTTTGCTGGCTTTTGTAGTTGAACAACGGCGTTCCGGGAAGCGCTTTTGGCCAATGTCCATCTGGAAGCAATTGAGCAACTCCCACAACACTGCGTCCTTTTTCATAGCAGCGCTTACGTCTTCCACGGTAACTGGCAGCTGGTCAAGTGTTTCCTCGTAAGTAACGGTGACATCAGCTTCTACTGTAGCAATGATGCGTATTCGTCCGGCGCACTCCGGCAGGAAAGCGGTCGGGAGAGAGCATCGGCTTGTCCAAACGATATCGTGGAGCAATACTTGATGTAAAAATCATAGGCAAGCAGCGTCATTGCAAACATCGCTGTAAACGGTTGGCAGTGTAGCGTGGCACTCCTTTCTTGCTCCCGAAGATAGTGAATAGATGCAGTGGTCCGTTAGCAGAGTGAATCTTCGCCCATAGATGTACCGGTGAAATTCCTTGACGGCAACAACTAGGGCCATCCCTCTTTCTCAATCGGCGAGTAGTTTTACGCTGTGACAGTCAGGGCACGGCTTGCGTGGCAAGGCCTTCTCCGATTCATCCGGGTGCGGTGAGAAATCAAGACTCCGATTCCATAGTTGATTGCGTCAGTGGCAACGATGACCGGCTTCTTCGGGTCGTAGTGGCACAGCAGAAGATCCGAGGTTAGAATTGCGCGAAGGCGGTCAAAAGCTTCCTGGCACTGCTTACTCCGAACAAACGGTGCGTATTTCCTCTTTAAAGCGTGCAATGATCCGGGAAGTAAACGCATGCTTGGCACGAAAGAAGAGTAAAACGAAACCATTCCAAGATACGATTCGAGCTGCTTCACTCTTGGGACGGCGGCATATGAGCAATCTTCTCAGGATCAGGACGCCTTCCTTCATCGTCGACGGTGAATCCGAGAAATATAATGCTGGGCTTAGCAAAGTGGCACTTCTCACGGCGAACACGCATTCCGTAGTCTTGAAGGTGTTGGAATAGCTTGAAGACGTTCGCGTCATGCTCCTCACGAGTCCTTCCGGGCCACAACATGTCCAAGTAAGCAATTGCTCCGTTGACGTTGGCAGTGACATTGCTCATCAGCAATTGGAAGATTCATGGAGCACTCTTTACACCAAACGGTAGGCGTTTGTAGCGAAAAAGACCTCTCGACATGTTGATGGTCAGCAGCTCCTTGCGTTCGTGTCCATTTCCACTTGCAGGTAAGCGTCAAGCAGATCGATATTCGTGAAGACTGTTTCTCCATTCAGCTGGTGAAGACTTCCTCAGCGGTGGACAGCGGGTGTCTGTTTAACTCCAATGCGTCGTTCGGTCCGGTACAATAATCGGCGCTTATGCGCACTGCTCCATTCTTCTTCTTGGTTGGAACGATGGGAGCGGCCATAGGTGCTATAAGGTGAGAATGACTCCTCCAGGGTGAAAGGGGTCACAGTAGTCGCAGCCCCTCCAGGATGGAGGGTGTTTCACTTGATTAAGAAAATGATGTCGACAGAGGGGGGGGGAGGAGAGGGAGTGATGGAGTTTTCTCATCATTCTCCCTAATCATTTTCAATTATTGTTTTATCATTTTCAATTCTCTATTATCATTTGCTGTCTTTTTTGTGAAGATTTAAAATTGGAAATCCTACAAAAACTGTCTGTTTTAGAAAATACCATAGAATAGAAGATGTGTATGCAAGAACATTTGTTTCGGGAATGAGGTAGACCATTTTTGAGCATTCACAAATTTTTTGAAAAAAAAAACAAATTTGCTGTAGAGGAACAGCAAACGTCAAAAAGGAAATTGTTTTCAGAACCATCTTTTCTTCCGCTTTTAGGAATTATACAGCTTATGTGGGAATTCGTCTGGAGTTATTTCAAAAAAGTGCCTGGCGAAGCCGTGGGTAGTGATTTCCAAATATTTACGAACCTTTTAGATAAAAAATCCGCAACTTCTGTAGATGAAGATCTTATATGCCGAGATGGTTAATATCGGAACCGCCCTGTCCTTTGCTGATAGAGGATATATAGTTTGCCTAGAGTCTTTAAAAAAATGCCTGGTGAAGGGTGTGGGTTGATCTCTAAAGATTTTTGAGTTTTAACATAAAAAATTCATAACATATGCAGATGAACATCTTGTACGCAGAGATAGTCACCATTGGAACTGTCTCGTCTTCCGCATTCAGAAAATATATACGTTGCCTGGAGTTTGTTACAAAAGTTCCGGGTGAAGGGTGGGTGAGACTTTTATGATGTGAATG